GCATCGGCAGCTGCGGGGGATCTCAGGATCGGGACTGTGGCCGAGGCCACTGGATGGTCGTGGGAGCACGACGAGGATAAGGAGGTGGATACAGAATTGTAGGGCGTAGAGCAATGCAACGATCACTCTCTCTTTTGCGTAAGAAGCCTCGCAGCGTTTAGTGTTACCTAGTCAGGTCGCAGACCGACTTCCAACAGCGACTGCTGTGGAGCGAATGCGGAGACTCGCGAAGGACTCACAGATGCCCAAGAGCACCTGCCGGACGCGCGCAACCATCATCTTGGCAGCGAGTTCCGGGAAGGACGTCACCCCAACCCCTCCAGAAAGGATTTCTAGTATAATTTAAAAAATATAATCTCTGCACATTCTGAATTGCTGGAAGCTCAATTAATTGTACCCTTCTTCGGATGAAATCGGTATACACAGGTTTTTACATCTGCCCTATCCATTCTCGCTACATGCATCAGCCAATCGTATCGCTTCTCCAGGTCAGTCGCTCCACACTAATAAGAAGTCACAAACTGAAGCGGACACCAAGTATCGAGAAGTGTCGTGATTCTCTTCCCCGCCCGAAGCGTCGCTCGTCTCTGCCTAAAGCTTCTCTAGTCGACCTCCGCTCTATATCCGAACCTGTCCACTCTCTCTTTAAGCTGTTGCTACCATGGACCCGTCCGAAGTGACGGTGTTGGTCGTGGAAGATGACGAATTCACGCGCATGGCCACCATCGACATCCTCAAGTCGTGCCGCTACACGGTCTTCGCAGTGGAGAACGGTCAGCAGGCGCTGGATCTGCTCGTTACGAACCACGCCAAGTTTGATCTTGTGCTGTGCGACGTCATGCTGCCTGTCATGACGGGCATTGAGCTATTGGACGAGATCCAGAAACACAGCGCCACACTGGGCCACATCCCCATAGTTATGACCTCCAGTAACGAGGAAATGGACGTGGTCACGTCCTGCCTCAGTAAGGGCGCCAAGGACTACCTCATCAAGCCCATTCAGGTCAACACAGCCAAGACTCTTGTTCGCCACGTGTGGCTCAGTCGTCGTCTTGAACGCACTTCCAACAAGAGTATGTGGCAGGACATCGAGGTCATTCGCACTATCGGCAAGGGTACACACGGTACGGTAGTCCTAGCACGTCGTAAAGTAGACGGAGCAGTCGTGGCCGTCAAGCGCGTGCGCATCTCACAGATCTCCGAGAACGGCCGCAAGCAGGCGGACAACGAAGTCATTCTGCTCAAATCGCTGTACCATGTCAACATCGTGCGCTTCTACGACCATTTCTTGGCCGACGACGAGCTCAATATCGTCATGGAATACTCGGACGGTGGCAATTTGAGGCAGTTAGTGAAGCTGCGTTCACGCGAGAAGATGGGGCCCTTCCCTGAGCCTGTGATCATGAGTTGGTTCGCCCAGCTAGTGCTGGCTGTGGCTTATATCCACGGCAAGAACGTGCTGCATCGCGATCTGAAGGCACAGAACGTCTTCCTCACACACAAGAACGTGGTCAAGCTCGGTGATTTCGGTATTTCCAAGGCGCTGGCCGGAGATGATACAGCTAATACAGCGTGTGGCACACCTGAGAGTATGTCTCCTGAAATCTGCCGTGGCGAGCCTTACGGCAAGAAGTCGGACATTTGGTCGCTCGGTTGCATCCTGTACGAGATGATCATGCTGCGCCGCCCCTTTGAGGCTTCCACACTGCCTGAGATTTTCACCAAGATTTGTAAGGGCGAGTATCCACCTATTCTGCCGTCGTTCTCGCGCGAGCTGCGTCTACTTGTGCAGCTGATGTTACAGCAGGACGCATCAAAGCGCCCGTCCATTGAAGATATCTGCCGCTTTCCGTTCGTTCAGGCTCCGATCCAGGCTTTCTTGTCCGAGCACGTGTCGGAATTCCAGGAAGCACTGGAACTTGAGGCCAAATTGCACCAGCCTTCGCTGTATAGCACAGGAGCAGGCAACCCACCAGTTTCTCCTGTGTCGCCAAGTCTTCGTCGTCGGAACCATAACAGCAGTAGTGAAACTCCAACGAGCGGCTTTGGTGAGTCAGCTCCTGATTCGGGCTCTCCGGTTTCGAGTCGTAGTGATGGCTCGAGCAATGCCGGCTTCAACAACAATGGAAATCTGCGCAACTCTGCGATCGCCTCAGTTGCAATTGGACTGGCTGCTGAAGCCGTCCCTACTTCTGGTGGTCGCCCACAGCAGAACAGTGACTTGGCTAAGATGTCGGCGGATACTGTGGAGGACACCCTAGCGGACAAGCTGCGTGCCCAAGTGACTATTGGTGACGTTCGCGTGGGTCTTTTCACCACATACACGGCCTGCACTTCGGCAGATGAACTTGTTCGTATCCTGAAGGCGAAGTTTGAGAAGACACATGACCAGGCAGCGACGATATTGTCAGACTTTCTCAAAAGTCGTGTGCTCAACGTCGTGTTCGCTGAAGACGTGTCGCATCCGGATCTAGGAGCAAAAGACACGTACCTGCGTTTCCAAGTCGACGAGCTGTTTGTGCCGCTCAATATGAAGTACGTCTGTGTCGACGAAGTGCAGCAAGGCCCCATGGAGATCTGCCTACGCGTTCGCGAAGCAATCGCTGAGCTGCATGCGCTCAAGTCTTTCCCGCGTGGAATTGGCACTGGATTTAGCCTGCCGAACCATGTCTCGGCAACAGGGAACAGTGTCACCGAGTACTTTGATGCGCCACTGTGCCAGAAGTATCGTCGTTTCTTGAAGCTAACGTCGAAATTGCAGAATGTTGATGTCGGAAGTCTGCCCAAGCACGAACGTCAGCCTTTCTTCATCAACATCTACAACGCGATGGTGCTTCACGGTCTCATCGAATTTGGCGTGCCGCAGAATATCGGTCAGTACAAGGCGTTTGAGCGGGATGTAGCCTACACAATTGGGGGATTGGAGTTCACGCTTGGTGACATCAAGCACGGCATCTTGCGCTGCAACCGCAAGCCGCCGTCGAACTACTGGGAGCGCCAACTGCAAGCTCAAGACCCGAAATTGCAGTTCCGTCTGCACATTCGTGACCCTCGCTCCCTTCTGGTGCTAATTGACTGCGCTGAGCCACTTCCTAGCGCCGAAGACGTTCCTATCCTGAAACCTGGACGCACGGACACGGATCTTGAGGAACAGGCAGAAAAGTTCTGCGAGCGTTTGATTGAAGTGGACGAGCGTGCTGGAGAAATTGTACTGCCGCGAGTGCTTCGTATCTTCCGCGATGACTTTGGATCTTCAGAAGCTGAAATGGTATCGTGGCTGGCGCAGTACATGGATAACGCACCTGCCAACCTAGTGAACTACCGTGTAAGGTATCAGACGGGCATTTCGTCGTGATCGGAGCGATGAAGAGCTGCTATTGCCCGTCTTGAAGTGGGGTGTGACTGTGTAGATCTCTCCTCACTTCTATTAGTGCACGTGAAGGAAGGAAAATTTCGGTGGAACGGAACTCGCACGAGATGAAGGAGCAAAGTTTCTCGTTGCGGATGGCTGGCGATACTGCGCTGACCACTTCTCATCTATTGACTGTACTTCTCATGTCAGCGCTCTTTGTTAATTGAGTAAGAGGGATTGAGGCAATGGAACCGCAAGCATGCATGAATGCATAGTTAAGATCAAACGTTTTGCTTTTTGGTTGACTGTTCTTTCATGGATTGTGCTCACCAGAAATTCGTCTTGGCAAGAAGAAGCCACATAGGACTATTACAACTTTAGTTAAAAAGTTTTTGTCTGTTGTTGTTATGCTATGTAGTAGATGATGAACGTGATACCAACCGCAGTAACGCACCCTCGCCAGAATTGGACGCAGGACTCCACGCTAACAAAGCAAGCACCCATACGGCGAACGAACATTCTCAAATAGAAGACTTGCGCTAATGAAAGCGAATGCGCAAGCGATCGATCCGTCGAGTGTCCGTTGGAATAGCGATCAGGCTGACAACGAGACAAGGGAGCGAGTAGAGCGATGGGGTGGCGAGTGGCTAATTGGATTCTGAAGTGGGCTAAACTGACTGTTGTTATGTAAGCAGCAAAACGTCGTGACGAGACGATAGAAGCTGAGGGCCTCGTACGACGCGACGCAACGTGGCGAGAGCTCGAAAGACTCGTGCGCTTCTATAGGATCGTGCACTTGAACCCCGACTTCTTCTGTGGCTTCTGCGGGGGTTGCGGTCGCTCCACACGCACGGGGCGCTCGGATTTCCTGATCTCGCGCACCACCTGATAGAAGCACTCCTCATTCAATATCTAAAGCGACATAATACGACGACATTAGATCGATCCCTCTCAGCCCGAAATGTCTTAATTGCACAGACGTACTCTCTCTTTGGCACTGGTCTCCATGAAGGAGCAGCCCCACTGGCGAGCAAGTTCTTTGCCCTCATTAGCAGCCACCTGTCTCTGAGTCTCCAGGTCGCACTTGTTGCCGACCAGCACGATAGGCACATTATCCACGTCCTTGGCACGCAAGATCTTGTCCTTGAAGGCGGAGATGTCATCGAAGGAGCTACGACTGGTTACACTGTACACAAGCAGGAAGCCTTTGCCTTCACGCATCCACTACAACGGGTAAATTTAGCGTTTTGACAAGATTTTCAACTGCAACAAAGCGACGGCGTACCTGGTCCTGCATGGACGTGTACTCTTCTTGACCGGCCGTATCCAGAATGTCCAGCAGTGCTGGACTGTTGTCAATAGTTGTCTGCTTCCGGTAGCTGTCCTCTGTTTAACAAGAAACGTGCCATGCAAGAAGTTAGATCTTAGTTTGGATTAAAAAAAAAGATAATTATTGTTTTACCGATTGTGGGGTCATAGTCCTCCAGGAAGTTGTCGGTCACGAGGCGGATAGTTAGCGCAGATTTACCAACACCACCACTTCCCAGTACCACCTACAGCGACAATTGTCCAAGGTTAATTCGTCTTTTGGGACTAGAAAGAAAAAAAAAACTCAGGTTGGAGGGGAGAGAAAAGAACGAAAGGATGGAGCGTCGCTTATCTCTGCGGTCGATCCTGCTCGAATCTTTTCTTCCCCTGTTCGCACGCATCGTACCAGCTTGTATTCCTTGTTGTCGCTCATGTCGAGTGCGTGTGTATTGGGCAAAGAAGACTGCGATCTACGCGGCGCGGCGGCTTCTTCCCTCCCTCGGTGTCGGCGACTCTGTCTCTGTCGTTCTCCCGTCTGGACTGAAAGTCTGCGAGCAGAGAAGAGCCTCTACCGAGTGCGCATCCCTGTGGATCGTGCCGCGATTGGAGGAAAATACCACAAGAATAGGGCTGCTCTGTTTTTCCACCAATCGCATGGGCTTCAAAGAGTCGACTTCATTTGCGCCGTGGAGGACGTGGTGTACCGTCAAAAGGGTACATATTTACTGATAACAAATTGCACTGCAAACAAGAACATGGCAGCCCTGGGCGATGTGGTGGGCTTCCTCGCCATGTACATCCCGGACTCGCTCTTCCCGTTCGCTGTGGCGTGTATGCTGAGCTTAAATTCGCTGTTTAGCTGCTGTAATCAAAATCTAATCTCTCTCTCTCGGTATTTTGAGCCCATAGTCGGTCTGCCCGTCGTCATGTACGGCATCATCTCGCTGCTGGAGCTGATCATCTTGGGCACCAAGCGAGACCAAACGCAGAACCAGCGAAGAAGGCAGGCGCCGCGTGGCGTCATGCAGATGAGCCGCGCACTATACGAGCAGCTGGACGGCGACATGCTGCAGCTGCTCATGAGCAACCGCGACTTCGATAGCAACGACTACGAGCGCCTCATGCGGCTCGAGGCGCTGAACGAGCGCCGAAACGAGGGCGCCACACCGCAGCAGATCCAGCAGCTGCCCATCGTCGCAGTGACGTACGTGGCTGCTCTATCTCTCTGCATATCCTCCTATCGCTTTTGAAGTGGACATGGCTGTCCAGTTCATTGCTGAGGGTGCTGTAGAAGTGCTGGCACTGACTCACGTTGTACTCACTCCATTTGCGCTTGCCACTGTTGATGCCATTGCAGGGAGAGTATGCTAAAGGCATCCGAGAATGCTTGCTGCACAGTGTGTCTTAGCGCCTTCCAGGTGAACAGCCCAGTGCGCATGATGCCTTGCTTCCATCGGTTCCACCCGCAATGCATCGACCCGTGGCTTCAGGAGAAGGGGTTGTGTCCAATATGCAAGTTTCCTGCCATCGCCTAAGCCTGATTGCTGCAACGCTTCGACCAGGTCTAGTGTCTATTGTACCGTGCCCCACAAATGTAAACATCGTCTTTTGTACAGCATTTTTTCTCGTCATTTCATTGGTCGATAACGTAATTTTCTGTTTTCAGTTATCTATTGGCTATTGGCTAAAACCCTACTCATACAAAAACCCTCCTTAGAAAAATCCTCCACAACACCAAGCTCCTCCTCCATGACGCAGACCGCGCCCGCCAGTTGGCGGGGCGTCTCCCAAGCAAGTCGCGCTACCTCCACAGGCAAGTCGCGTCCTTCATCTTCCTCGGCGCGCTCCAAGTCGCAGCCAAAGCAGCGCAATGCCAAGCCCAAGCCTCCATCAAAACCCACGCCCTCCGCCTTCGAGTTAGGCGTGGAGCAGGCCCGCACTTACGCAGACAGTGCCACCCCCGAGCAGCTCGAAACGCGGCTGCAACAGCTCCTTCTTGCCGCCAAATTCACCGATGCCGCCTTCCTTATCGCCGCCAGCGCGCACTTAAGCACACGCTTCCAGACAGCGGACGTGGTTCGTCTCATGTTGGAGCAAGCCAAGAGCCCACGCGCATTGGACCAGGCAGCGCAACTGGTACGCGACCTTCAACTGCAACAGAACGACGCACTTGTCACGCTTCTCATTAACGAGATGGTGCGCGCCATGCAGTTTGGCGCGGCCATGCGACTGGCACAGGAGATGGTGCCAGGTTTCGAGACGCTCTCCGCCGCTGCGGACCGTCCGTGCTGGACGCCGTCCGCACTCATCCAAGCCATGATTCGCGCTGGAAAATTCCGTGCGGCACTCAAGTTCTCCAAGCAATTCGGACTTCTGGAAACGTTCCCGGCTCCTCAGCTGGTACGTGGTATGCTGGAGACTAGAAGCTACGAGGAGGCTATCTCCAGCGTCATGGAGATGCAGCTGTTCAAGGATTTTCCCCTTGAAGCTCTAGCAGTGGAGATGATGAAGCAGCGGCAATGGGCCCAAGCAGTTAAGTGCATGAACAAGCTCTCAGATAAAGACGACACACGAGCCAAGTTCTACGAAGCGCTGGTGCGTGAAACTGCACATGTCGGGGACTTTGTGACCTCGTTACGCTATCTACGTGAGTTTAAACTGGATCAAGGCAACGGAGACGCGACAATAAGCTTGCTGCGGTACCTGGTGGATGCTATGGTCGCACATAACGAGTTCTACAAGGCCATTAAGTATGCAATCAAGTTCAACTTGGCCAAGAACCCGCTGAACGATGCAATTGCAGCTGCTGATGCTGCGCTTGCTGCTGCGAGTGGCGAAGAATTTCCCTTGAAGGAAGAAGACAATACTGAGTATTTACCGCAGTATAACGTCGAGCTGCTGATTCGCAAAGCTATCGAAGGTGGACAGTTCCACGTGGCAACTACATACATTAAGAAACTGCGGCTTCGAGAGAAGTTTGCTGATGAGCTTGTGGCGATCGAGAAGGCGCAGCATAATCGACTACTGGAGTTCCGACAGTACGCACAACTGCGGCTCGCTCAGTTCCAAGATCCAGCGTTCCAGAAGAATCTTTACGCATTACTGGGTGATCAAGCTGAAGATGAAATGATTGAACTTGAGCCAGTGGAGGTGGAAATTGTTCTTTCAGAGGAAGAGGAGATCATCCCGCGCAAGAAGAAGGCCCAGCATGACGACGAAGACGAGGATGTGCCCAAAGAATCTGAGAAAAAGGAATCAACACCAGTTGCAGAAAGCAGCAAACCTGTTGAGGATCAACAGCAGTCGTCCGTTCCAGCTGAGACCACTGGTCAATCACGCTTCGGCTTTGCTCGGGCTCCAGCATCATCACAACCGCCACTTCCGAGTGTTCCTGACACTGCAGAGGGAATATCTGGCGAGGACAACCAGCCTCGCAGTAAGTCGGCACCACCTAGTAGATCACCACCCCCTCCCGGCTTGTCCAATCCCTCAGACAGCGAACAGACTCAAGTCAGCACTCAAGAAAGCGCTGGCAGCTTCAACTTTGCCGATTTTGCCAAGTCTGTCCAGGTCAGCGGTCCGCCTCCACCTCCTTACTCGGCTCCGTCATCGCAGCCACTTCAGCAACCACCGCAGCCTCCTCAGCCACCACAACAGCAGCCATTTTTGAACCAGCAGCAGCAGACGCAAGCGATGTTCGGTCGTCCAATGCCCCCGATGCCGAACAATCAGTTTGCGGGTGGACCGCCAGGATATCCCATGCCACCAATGATGCCGCAGCAGAACCCCATGTATTTTCGAGGAAACATGCCGCCTGGAGTGATGCAGCCACCAGGCTACCCGCAGCCTCCACCTCCACCCCCGTCAAACAACGGTGGAGGCGCCCTTGATGTTGCCTCACTCGCAATGCAGTTCCACAATACCGGCAGCAATGGATCTTCTGGTTTAGGCGGCTTTGGTGGCCCACGTCCTCCCATGAGCTATCCTGGAGCCTCACCGAATGGCCAACACTTCCAAGCAATGCCGCCATTCGGTGTTCCTCCGCCGCCGCCCCAATCCACCTTCAAACCTAGCATGTCGTACACCTCGGTTACTACGACACGCCAGAAGAAGTAACTCTTCCTTCACTTCAAGCTTCAACTCCGTATAGTAGTAGCTCAATCTGCATATTTTCATGTGCTTGCATGGTTTGCATTCTGCATATTGCCTGTTGCATGTTGCATGTTTTGTAATTCTCTGATGTTAAAATGCCTCGATGAAGAAGAGTACACTGCTTTGCATGCTACATCTATCCTCGTGGTGCTTTCTTCTTGACCTTAAGTTTGGCGTCGATGTCATCCCAAGCTTTTCCTCGAACACTGAGTAGGCGTGCCGCGCGCTCTGTCAAGTTACCACTGTGGAGCAATATACAGTCAGTGTTGTCACCACGATCTATCTCAATACCTTCTGAAACGTACCCGCATTTTAAGTCACGTCGACTCAATTCTTGCTTCAGTCGCTCCAATCCAAGCGCCTCAAGTGACGCGACAGTCTCAAACTTCATCAGATCGATAGGAGGTTCAGTGGGAGCCACCTTCTTCACAGAATCCTTTGCTCTCTGAGATTTCCCCACCTTTCCATTCTTCGATGAACTCAACTTGGTCGGTTTCTTGGTGTCATCTACGGCTGCTGAGCTTGATTCCTCACTGCCGCTAGCCAAGTCACTTGCGTTGTCTGTGCTCGAGACTATGATAGCTCGTTCATCAACAGCTTCAGATTCTAGCGCGTCGATGACAGGTTCGTATCCAGGAGCTTCGTACAGGAACGGTTGGGAACCGATGTTCACTAGCAAGATCTCCGTCTGCTCGACGCTGATAGCCGGGAAGAAGCCGCGGTCACTTGCCGTGTGCTTGACGTTGCGGAATGCCACACCGAGCTCAACACCATTCTGAGTGAACGAGACAGTGCCCTCATCCAAATCCAACAGACAGCCGATAACATCGTTCTTGCTCCACGAGTCATCAGTGGCGTACTGCTCGTCTTTGCCACCGTTCCACTTCACCTGCCGAGCGCCATCATAAGCCCACGAGCGCTCATGATCACCCACGCCATCTCCCGTTTCCGAGTTCGCCTCAAACGTTGAGTCTGCCCAGCCAATCTGCACCACGCCAGCTGTCACGAGACGCACTTCATAGTACCATTTTCCCTTCGTCAAGGCGCAGCAGTGTCGCGCTGTTGCCGTGCCAAAGTTGCCGCGGCCACGTAGTTCACACAGCCCATGCTTGAACGTCGTCCCCACGCTAGCAGTAGCGTCCTCTTCATTTCCTCCAATCAGCTTCAGCCACTTCTCCACAACCGGCAGCGGGCGTTGCGCTGACCGAACACTGATGTACGTTGTGGCATCAGGTGGCAACACCCGCGCGTCTTTTTCCTGCTGCTCGATCTTGACGTCTGCTTTCTTCTTGCGACGCCGTAAACCGCTCTTAATCGCATCTAACACGTCGTCTGGCATCTCCTGTTCAAAATCGACATAGTCCTGCAGTTCCTGTTGTTTAGCTCTCTGTGCCTCTTCCCTCTTGGCTCGCTTAAACTCCGTCAATCCTTCACCTCTTAGTTCCTCTTCTCCGTGAGCAAAGTCACAGTCTCGTCCACGTGGGCAGCCCCACCATCTCGGAGCTCCTGGTGGGGGTGATTTCCCCCCCTCTCTGGCTTTTATCCAGCTCTTACATAGCACAGTATTGCGTCTTCTCTTCATGTACGACTTCTTAATACCTTCCGCCCACGAGGGCGTTGCAAGGTACCAGCCAGGGATACCGCTGGGTGTATCTTCATCAAGAATCTCTCGGTCTTCGATTCCTTCCTTTTCCCTCTTGGCTCGAGTCTCTGCATCCTGTCGCCACTTGTGCATCGCCACTTCCTGGTTCACGTGGCGTAGACGGCGGCCGTGCAGGTCTCGACACGCGCCAAAGTCCGTCGTGGTCTTGGCACCTGAAGTTTTCCCCATACTGCGCAGCATGGCACCGAATCCGCCTTTGCCGCCGCGTAGGCCGCCATGAAGTCGGGCGCGGATAATGGTCGGGAAGGAAGGGACATGGCTTGAAGCGTCGAGTTTTCGGCCGTTCACGTACAGATCGAGGAGTGAGGAAGGCACACCTTCACGCTGTTGGACAAAGGAGGCGATACTGGAGAAAGTGGCTGCTTTAGAGGACAGGGAGACGCACAGTGTGCGGTTGAAGTGCACGAGGAACTGCAGCTCGTCCGCCATTTTCGATCGTTGCTCGAATGGCTACTGATGGAATTCATTTTAGTGACCGCTCTAAAATAGTCTGATACAAATCTTTTGTCACAAAAAAAGTCAATGATCAAATTAATGGTCCAAATGGATTTTATAGGAGCTGGAATTAGTCCCGTTGATATTTGGGTCAAATTGTTTTGGATCGTCAACATGGCATCGAGTCTATTGGCAGCGGCTCTGCTGCTTCCGGCGATGTGCACCGCGTCCCCGACGTCTGCCTCGACCATCCCTTACGCTGCGCTAATCGCCACGTCAATTGCGATTCTCATCGTGGCATTTGTAGCCAAGAAGAAACTCCCGAGGCCTCAGGAAACCTCCTCGACGCTCAGCGTTCTACAGCGTGACGAGGTTCAAGAGCAACTGGCAGAGAAACAGAAGAATCTACTACCAATTAACGCTGTGGTGACACTAAAACAACCTCTCAACGGCTTTGACCACGGTTCAGTAGTAGGCTACGATGAAGATTCTGACAGCTACGAGGTGAAGCTCGCGAGCTCCGAGACCAACACATTTAAAGCGTCACAACTGCAATTCCCACAAGTCTCAGGAATTTTTGTGTACCCCATCAAGTCGTGTGCCGGAATTGAGCTGAAGGAGGCTCAATTGACACCCAAAGGTCTGCTGCATGACCGAGAATGGGTCATTATTGACGGAGACAGGGATAAATTCGTGACCCAGAGGCGATATCCCAAGCTGGCGTTGATTCACCCAAAGGTGCTACCTGCAATGGATGTAGAGGCTACAAGTCTGGTGCTGACGGCCAAGGGAATGCCCGATCTGGAGGTGCCTGTGGTGCTCACGGGAGAGGGACAATTGCGAGTCGTGAGCATCTGGAAGGACAAAGTGGAGGCTATCGACCAGGGAGACGCTGCGGCCAAGTGGTTGGATGAGTTTATGGGGGAGGACAAGTGTCGATTCCGTCTCACACGAGTCAGAGATGGATACATACGTCCCACCAAGCCAAAATATGCACCTGGATACTCAACAAACTTTGCCGATGCATTCCCTTTCCTCCTGGCACTGGAAGAATCGCTAGAGGAATTCAACACGAAACTGGAAACGCCGGTGCCAATGAACCGATTCCGCCCCAAGTACGTGAAAATATCTATGATTTATGTCATTTACTTTTGACTTAACCGATGTGTTGTCTGTTGTTGTAGCATTGTGCTCCGAGGAAGCCCGGCGTTTGCAGATGAGCGCTGGAACTGCATCACGATCGACGGAGTGCGTTTTCGTAATGTGAGGCCTTGTGCGCGCTGCGGAATGCCCAGTGTGAACCAGGAAACGGGCGAAGTCCACCCCAAACGTGAACCTTCTCGTGCTATTGTTCGCGAACGCAATGGTGCACTGTTGGGCTTTACCGACGGGAAAAAGTTTGAGGGATACTTTGGATCCAACATGGTTGTGGAGATCGAACAGAACACGGCACCGCTACAGTTGACAGTTGGCGCGAATGTCAAGGTCCTTACCCTTAAAACGGAGGTCGTAGCCTAAATGACTCCAGCAGGTAAATCGGCAAAGAGAACTCACAATAAGGAGATAGCCAGTATGTTTAACCGCTATTCTAACGAAGAGCTATTTGACTGTATTTCCTGCTCTTCTACTGTAGCGTCCTCCATCACGTACACTTGGAAGCGCAGGTGGGTCCATTTGAAGACTCGTACCTGTGAATTCTGCAGAGAACGTCATCCCAAAGCTGTCGTCGCTCAACTCGGACTCTTTCTCTGGCAGGAGTTGTGGAGCCAATGGGCTCAGATCCATCTTCTTGGGCGTTGATGGTAGCGATAAACATTGTGGTTTACCATCCTCTTCTCGTCTGAGGCTGGCTAGGATGGGGTCGATCTTGATCGGGGATGATGATCTTGGTGACGGTCGTGGAGAAGATGTGATAACACCACAGGAAATACTTGGTCTTGGAAGTGCTTCACCATGAGGTTTATGCGGCTGTTGCGGTGAATACGTGCCAAGCGGCTCGGTAGTCACTGTCTGTGGTGGCAACAAGGAGTCCGCCATATCGTCACTTAAAGTACCTGGCAAATTGCCATTCGGTTCACGCGGTGTACGTGTAGCTGAGCGCGCAGTCAAGTGAGGCTTGTTTGCCTCAACTCCGAGTTCGGAGCTGTAGTTGATAGTGCTGGCCGATTGAGTGAGACGGCAAGATGAAGGTCTATGAACGCTGAGCTTCTGAAGCGATTCCAAGTTGAGTTCAAGGCGCTTTGGAGCATGCCACTTGTCGACCAACAGCGCCACACAATCCGTATGACGTCGCAGTGATGACGTTGTACAGCTAGTGGGGGAGAGATGGAATAAAGCCATCGCAGTGCGTGCACAAACTGCATCAAACAGAACGTCTCCTGTCGCGAATTGCTTCAATTTGGCCTCGAGAACACGCAAACACGACAGTATCCGGTCCAGAGATCGCATGGCGTATGCTGGTAATTGGTGGAGGCCTTGAAACTGGTAGCTGCTGTTGATTGAATTGCCTTGCGTTTCGCTTTCGCTTCGAGTATGGTGGATCAAACCAGCATGGCCATAGGCTGTCGTAGGGAGTTTTAGCGGTGGCACCGGAGAAACGTGCAATAATTTCTCTACAAGTGGGCTGTTTAACAAAGGCTCACGTAGATGTTCGAGCCAGTCAAGCAGTAAAACTGCACGAGTGGAGGCATTCGGACACAACGCTGAGGCTTCTTCCCAGTTCCATTCACCGACGTTGAAGCCGACTTTGATTGGGAATAGTTGCTCCCTGGTCGTAGGTTCTGGGGCCTCAATAGCGTCAAACGAAATACTGTCACTGTCTTTGAGAGACTCGTTTACTGCTCCTCCGATGAACTGTCGATGTCGATCAAGCAATTCAGCGTTATCCGAGGATGTCGGACAATAGAATTCTTTCGTACATTCAATCGTCCGAGGCCAAGCTTCTTGCTGACGAACGCATAGATGATTGACGAAAGCTGAAGCAACTGCCATAACGTCGGACGATGCTGATACGGCACCTTCCAGCTGGACACAAAGGAAGTCAAGAACTCGCGGTAGACTGGAATTTACCGCTCCTTCGCCATGTAGACGACGATTCTGATGCTCCACAGTCTCTGCAAGTGTAAATCGATCATGAATTTTCGGCAAGGCGAATACAACTCGAGCAGCGTTGAGGTACGCGTGGAAATCATGTACAAACTGAACTTGTCCTGCCGTTTGGACTGACCCAGGTCGATCTCGACGCACTAAACGAATTGCTAGCTCAGGTGGAATATTGTGGAGGAAGATGAGGGCACATGCAATGGTGATACCTGTACGTCCATAGCCAGCATGACAATGCACAGCTACCTTGTGATGGCCAGTGAGCAAAACGGATGCGATCACCTTGACAATATCCATCATGAAAGACAACGTGGGCGTGGTCATGTCTTCCCAACCGAAATTATAGAACCGAACTGCACAACAATCAAATACGTTAGGTTACCGGCATGTTGAAGGGGACAGGAATGACTAGGTTCATACTGTTTTCAGCCATGAGATCTTTCTCCGGGTCATACGGGAAGCCACTGGTGCCAAGACCGTCACCGCAATACGGGTGTTCCCCAGGAAGAGTCAAGTTGAACACAGCCGTGATATTCAGTCTACAAGAAGATCATTAGCATTATAACTTTTTTTCGAAGTAATCTTGCAACTTACTTGTGGAACTGCTCTGCGATTTTGTATTCATTCATGAGTCGGGAAGACGGACGCATCATGGCCAAGGCGCAATCGACAACCCAGTCAGCGTGCAATCCCTTTACTGGGGAATCTTGTTTCGCTAGTGCCGCACTTTCACTGCATCGCTTGCAACGTATACCACCGCAGAGACGACACTTGACTTTCAGTGTTTTCTCCCATTCACGAGCTTTCACGGGCGATCCCATCGCTTCAGAATTGCCAAACTGAATCGAGTCATTACGGCTAAATGGAGTTGAATAATCTCCGACGCAACTTCCTAAAAATATGAAGCTCGACATAGATTCTTAGAAAATGTAGCTCAACGGACAGAGACCATTAGCTGGTGGAAGCTTGGCGTCGCACGCGTCGGGAGCTCAATGAAGTCAAGCAGTCGAAAGCCGTCGTCTAATTCGCTACTTGGTGACAAGCGCTCACCGCCAGTGACTGCCAAGTCACGACGCAAATCAAACACTGGAACCCACGGAAATGGAGCTGCAACTTACAGCAATTCTGACTATGATCATGGACGTCAAGTTACTCCGCAGATCCTCCCAGCGGGGGGTACAGAATTTCTGCTTCAGCTTCAGCAGCTTCAACAACAGCAAAATCTCGCAGCGTTTTGCTATCCAGGAGCAGGGCCGACTATTCCTCACACTTTGCCACTGGGACCAAACACATATCCATCCACAGCCTTCGGAGGACTTCAACAGCAGCAGTACTTGTCTACACCAGGCAATTCTACGCGAGAAACGTGGGGTGGTCCACCAAGTGAGAAGAGTGGCCAGGTTCTTGAACAACTTGGATCGGTGCTTCAACAAATGAAACAAGAATCCGAAGGATCAGCCGCTGCGTGGCGTGAAAAACTCGCAGAGACTGCACAACTGACGGATCAACTCGCTCAAGTTCGAGAGCAATTCAACGCCGCTACTAATAAGGAACGTGCTACTAGTGAAGAACTTGTACGTGCCCAAGAAGCGCTTAAAATACTGGAAGCTGAAGCAGCAGAGAATGCGAATCGCCATCGTGAAGAATTGTCAATGATGAACGACGAAGTTCAAAGACAACAACGAAGTGCCGAGGAGATGCGTGAGAAATATGAAGCAGCACTTAACGAAGTGCAGAATGAATTACAGAACGTTCGTACTCAGTATGAGGAGCAACAACAAGTTCAAAGTGAAGAATTTCAAGCTGAACTAGCCAAATTTCAACAAACTCATGAAGCGAAAACTAAGGAATTGGAAAATCAACATACAACAGAGCGTGACAAGATGCTTGAAAAACTAAATGAACTGGAACAGGCAAAGGAGGAGCTTGGGCAGCATCTGTGGAATGCAACTAAAGAGATTGAGGCCGCTACTCAACGAGAGCAACGGCTACAGTCACAAGCTCAGGAAGCTCAAAATGATCTTGCGCGTATGCAAGAAGCCGCTATGTCACGCGAACGCGAGCTACAGATGCAGTCAGAAGTTCAACGTAATCAACTTCTTGATGAACTGAAGAAACAGTTGGAAGCTGCAACATCAACTATCAACGAAGAGCGAGCTCAAAAGGAAGAGCTCAATGCTCTCATGATCACTGAAGTGTCTAAATTCCAAGCTCAGCTGGAGCAAATGAGTCAACAACATGCAGCAGCACTTGCTGAGCGTGAAAAACAAGCAGAAGAAGAGCGAGTTCAAGCTCTGGAGCTCCGAGAAAAAGCCCAACGCGTTGTACGCGAGGCTCAGGATGAACTCCGTGATCTTCGTGCTGAGTTACAAAACACTAAAGCTGACAAAGCTCGTCTCGAGGCACAGGGATCCGCTGAGAACGGTACACTACAAGAGCTTAATGAGCAGCTGCGAGAGACTGCAGGTCAACTCGAAGACTCCAATACTCAGCTCCAGCAGCTTTCAAGTCGGTGTAAAACTGCTGAACGACTGACTCGCCAATGTCTTGACCTCATCACGCAGACTCCAGTCCCCAAGTCAAACTCAGACGAAGAAGAGAACGATGCAAATTCAGATGGAAATGAAGACCTGTTGGCACAATTGCCATCGGTGTTTCAAGCGCTCAAGCAGCTCACGAAAGCCTCAAGTGCAATTGAGCCGTTGCAATTAAAAGTTCTTCGTTTACAGCAAGAAAGAGATAGTGATCGCGAGAAGTTTAAAGCGCGTGAGCAGGAACTTCAAACGCAGTTGCAACACGCTCAGCAAGAAGTGGAATCTGCGAGACAAGATGCTAAAACGTTAGCAGAGGAACTGGCGAAGCTTTCTCAAGCTGCCGGCGGACAAGAAGCGCAACTGACTCGTTCAAACGAGCAACTTCGCCAACAAGTTCAAGAGCTCGAACATCTCCGATCTGTTGGTGCCTCTCAACTCCTACAACTTCAGAAAGTATTAGACGCACAGCGTGCTCGAAGTGCCGCTCTTGAAGCCGAAAAGCGAGATCTTTTGTCTGAAGCCGAGCAGCTCAATGTCAGTCTGGAAACTCAATATCGAGCTGTGAATGACAAGCACTTAGAACTGGAACAACTGCGTGGGTCGTATCGAGAACTTCAGCTTACGCATGGGGATCTGCAAGAAACTCATTCAGATTTGGAAGAAAGTGCCAGAAGAACGAATGAAAATCTCGCTACGCAGTTGCAACACGCTCAGGAGGAAATGAAAACAAAAGTACGAGAGATAGAAGAACTCCGAAGTGAACTAGAAAGATCTACACAGAGTTTAAGTGAAGAGAGAGACGAGTTAGCACGGACTCGGGAAACAGAACAGGCTCAGCGGTCACATAGCGAGCAGGAATTGTCCCGCGCGTTGGAGGAAAAGACCCAGCGACTTGAAGAGATGCTTACTATGCTCACTCATCTACAGAACAGAGTGGAGCATCTAGAACAAGCTAGATCCCAAGAAACTGAGCTTGCTAGGCAGCAACGCGATACACTTACACTCCAATTATCCGAGACGCAACAAGCTCAAACACGAGCGGAAAACGCGTTGGCAGCAGCTCTTCAAGCACAACAGGAGACTCAAGCTCAAGCACGATTCGAGGTGGAGCAGCTTCGGGCGACACTCACGCCACAATTTGCAGAGCTGGAAGCGCAAAAGGAGTCGCAAGCTGCTGAACTGCGTCGATTGGAAGCGGAACTTGAGCGCGCTTCACGTAGTAAACAGTCATTGCAGTTAGAACTTCAGAGAGCGGCGGACGATGCTCAAGACGCACTACGAGCCGTTGAAGTTGCTCGTCGAGATGCACGAGCACAAGCTGAGCAGTCAGGAGAGGAGCTCGAGAGACTTCGACAAGAGCTAGAGGCTCTACGGATTGAGAGCCAAGAGAGCGCAGCGTTGTCGGAAGAGCTGCAGAACAAGATCACTACGATCCAAAGTGCAGCGAATGCCACGATTGATGACCTAGTGTCGGAGTTACAAGGCGCTCAGGACGCTCTTGAACTCGAACGAGCTCGTGTGAAGAAAGAGAAGGATGCTAGTGGAACTCGCTCTCAGCTACGAGAGCTTGAAGAGCAGATACGCACACGAGACGCGCAACTTCGTGAAATTCGAGATGAATCTACCAGTACACAAGAACAACTGGAAGAGCGCTTAAGTGAATTAGAGTTGCGGCTGCAACGCACGACAAACACTCTTGAAAGCAAAAAGCAAGAGTGTGATGCAAAAGGTCGTGAAATGGAAACATTATCACGTCGAGCTGGGGAGGCCGAACGCAAATTATCACCATTGATTGCCGCTCGAGATGCACTTCAAGCCAAAGTGAACGAGTTGAAGCAAACTTTAGACACAAAGATGCGTGAAGCTCAGGATAATGAAGAGAAAGCTCGTGATGAAGTGCTTCGGGTTGCACGAGAACGTCGTGCGCTTGATGCCCAGATCGCAGAGCTTCGTGACGAAAATGAAGCTTCGCAACAGCAGGTAGGACGCGCACAGCGTGAAGTACAGGCGATGAAGCAGGCTCTAGAGCGGGTAAAAGGAGAACTCAGTCGGACAGGGACGGAGCTTAGAGCAGCAACGCAGAGACTGGAGGGTGTACAGCAGGCCGCAAATCAAACGATAGCCGACGCCACTTCTCGAATGCAGGCAGCTCAGCAACAAGGTGAACGTACAGCAGCTCGATTGCAACAAGAACTTGATCTGGAGCGTGAACGTCGCCGCGAGGCTGAAGTGCACCGAGCTGAGCTACAACGCACATTACGACAGCAAGTTCAGTCGCCAGCATTGCCAACTGGTTCGAGGAGTGACGATAGTAACAACCAAACACATATCAACTCGGTGAACGATGTCACCTCGAGTCCTGAGCTAGCAGATCAACCGTCCTCTGGTGGCAATGCTGAGTACCGCAAATTTTACGCAAACGAGCCGCTTACATCAGCTGAATTGTCGAGTTTGCCTATGGCAGTCATCAAGGCTCAACTAGGACTCGAATTTAGCCAAGGCAGTAATTCTTCCGCTGCAAATACAAAGTCCAAAAGTGCGAGCAAGTCGAAGATTCAACAGCAGCAGAAGGGACGATACGCTGCAAGTAAGGACAATCATGTTGACGACGATGACGACACCATTCCTCTTCTTCCACTTGAAAAACTGCCTTTGTAAGTATCTGCTTGGTGTTTTATTTACCAATGCACATTCTCACTCTTGATTGTTTCTGAAACAGCTCACCGGAGGCGGAAGGACGAGATAGTGCACCAAACAGTCCAAATGATGCTGCTCCTAGCGACGGTCGTTCAAGTTCTTCGCAACTACGGAGTGCACGCAGTATGCCGTGGTCAGAGCGATCGAGTGGCAACAGCTTTTCGTTTTCTAGGAACAACGCTGCGTCCCCTGCAACCAGCATTAGCAGCACTCCATCAACTCGCAAGAATTCATCGTCAAGTACCAGCACCAAGAAGAAGAAAACAAAAGAATCTCGACCTGTTGGACTACCTTCAGCATCGGGAATGCCCTACAGCAACACATCATCCAGTCTATCCCCTACAAAACACCAAAAACCCAAAGCACGTGGCAAGCTCTTGCCTCGCATAAGTCTGCAGTAAACAATAGTTGAGTATTCTCTCTTTTTAAGCTATGGTTTGTTGCAATTTATCGGTTGGTCGTAAGATGCCTCAGTAGCCAATCGAGTTCATTTTCATCTGCAGGATCTTTTGCAATACTACTCTCCAGCTTCGGCCCCTCTATCACTACTGTTCACACAAAACTCAACTCTTGCAACTTCTGGCCCCGTCCATCTTCTCAGTTTCCAAGATTGAGGTGACGATTGCTTCGCCGGCAAAGTTCGCGAATGGTTGGCTTACCATCACTCTGTCAACTTCAACTTAAAATGAGTCAACACTTCATCAACAACAGCGTTTCCGCACAAAATGCGCGATGCTCATAAGCGGCCTGACTGGTTCTCGTAACTTCCCCCCAACAAGAATCGGTATCCATGATGAGATTCACTTTGTGTCGATAGTTGGTCACAGGTTTTGTTTCAGAAATTTGCTTCCCATATGAAATATGGTGGACGATATAAGTAACAATCTCAGCATAATACAGAGCGTTCTCGTCGCAATCGAAGCTTTTAAATAATGGATACATATCGAAAGAAGAATAGAATTCAAGAAACCTGTTAGACGGCTTACAAAGTCGCATTATCCACTGTTTTCATCGCAAAACACCACAAGAGACCCTTCTTCCTCGCGCCACCCGTGCAGGATGCGAAGATTTTTCTTGAATACTTCGAAGTAATATGGTATCCGAGGTATCGTCTTGGCAACACTAGCCGTTTATTCCGCGCTAATAGACGATGAAAAAATCTAGTTGATCACTTCCCCGTCGACAACGGGAGACGCATGGCCGATTCTGGCGACGTAGGGAAGTGATAAATGTATACTGGGAACATCACATCCTCCGGATCCACCGTACTCTTGCCGTTTTTCTCTTCCTGCTCTCGACTGACCTCCTGCTCCGGTTCTCTGGCTGGCACGAGGTGCTTCTCCATCGGCGTTAGGTTGGGGATCCGATAGAGGTACGTGATCACTCGACACGCCTGCAACTTCTCCAGTTTTGGCCGCATTAACCTACAAGATCCACGATCGAAGTGTTCATTAGTCGCTGCATCCGGTAAACTATGGCCACCAGCTGCTGACGTACGACAAGCCACGGCTGATGAGGAAGAGGAAAACGACAGTGGCATCCGCGGGGATGTCAAATTCCAGCGCATTCGCTTGATGCACCGTCACTAGATGGCCCACGCCATCGGCCTCCGCTGCATCCCGCGCTTGTTGCGCCCGCTTTGGGTTGATCTCCACTCCCACAGCTCGCACGCCGAAGCTCCGCGCGGCGTCGATCAGCAACCGGCCATCTCCGCAGCCCAGGTCGTACACCACGTCGGAGGCGTCCACGTGCACGAGCTCCAGCGCCCGGCGGAAGGCGCTCAGCGGTGTCGAGTAGAGCGTCTTACGCGGAGCCAACATGCGGCAATTTAATACAACGGGACGAACTTTAGATAACGAGGCCAAAATGCGCCAAGGACCGGAACGGTCAAATGTGACGAGGCTGAAAACGTTGGACGATCGGAACTGCATGTGCAAGTGGCCAAAACTACAAAGGAATCGTGATTGGTAACGAAGTGGAAGTAAAGGTTTTTGCATTATTCATTCGGCTCGTTTGGCCTCGAGGCGAAGTTCAAAAAAAAAAAATAGATACGACGTCGCTAGCATCTCACTGGCGACGGATTGCTCGGAGCAAGGCGCTGCTGCTTGTTGTTCTCGTCACTTCGCTGCGATCACGTGCACGCATGGTGCTGCATCTTGCAGCCAGGAGCATTGGAATAAAATATAAGCGATGATGGCAGTCGCTTATCGCGCGCCCTTCCAGGCGAGCGCCACGTGCTGGTGAAGATGCTCTTCGCGCTCGTGCTCGATGTCGTCAGCACTTGCCTTGCTCTCGTCGTGTGTGTGTGCAGCGGTGTAGCGCGCGTAGCTGGTGATGCCTGCCGATGCGAGCACCATCGGCATGACGGCCATCGTACCCGGGTTCGTGGACACAGCGGCGACGATGGAGGAGAGCGGCATGACGAAAGGAGGGTGGTTCTTCAGGTGGTTGCTCTTGGCGAAGCTTGGCAAATGTGCTGCGTCGTCGGCGAGGTGGGCGACCAGGGAACTTGAGCCTTGGGTGAATCTGGTCCTTGTCGCCACTCATGTCCACGGAAATCCATAGACAAGCCTTATTTTAACTTGGGTATGAAATAGAACTGGCGTCACAAAACGGTTAGGGTAGACACGCCATTGGTGGATAAATCGAATCGTATTTAGAAGGAGTTTAACGGTAAAGAGATATTTTGGGATCAACAAAGAAAAGGTAACAATTTGGGCCTTGGCGTGGACCACATAGTGACGTATTTCTTTTTCGATGCCCGAAAGTGAAGCCAACACGCAAATCACTTGGAGCCTTGGGGCTGGAAGATGCATGGCTACCTTTGTGTGGACGGTAAAACGCCGGAAGCTGCTTCGCAGTGCTTGCTAGCGTAGCCTGCGAAAAGACTCCCGTTCAAATCGCGCGCTGCTCGCCGGAAGCTTAGCGTGGCTTGACACACCAAGCAGCAACCAGCGCGCCTTGTCTGCCATCTTGGTGTTCGGCTCGCCTGTGGTGCGTTTCCGCTGCTTGCTTAGTGCATGTAGGACACTAGGCGTCAACATTGTTACGCGTGGCGGCGGCGCCGCAGAAGAAGCGCTATTTGGAGACGTACTTGGTCCTCCCTCTCTTCGCTCCACTGATTCGCAGAACCACCAACAGTGCATGATCGATGCAGCTCTCCTTAGTAATAGTTGCTAAAAAGCACGATTTTCCCGCACACGAACATTACGGCTTGGAATGATTCGAGTGTCGAGCTTTAGATATGACTAGTAGCAAGTACGCCATCGTAAAACGCAAGTGCTTGCACAGATAAACCAGCACTGTCCAACAGTGAAGCGCTACATGGGTGTGACGCCACGGCTAGCCGCAGCTTGTAGCATCACACATTTGCTTTTTGGCAGTACCTAAACCTCCCAGTAACTTGTTGCTGAGTCAGCGAGCGTTGATGGCCCCTCGCTGGCGCTGAACAGAGACTATCGAAATACGAATTCGAATTTCGGTGGTCATCGTGGGAGAGAACAACGGATCTCCACGAGGACATTAGTATCGGGTCATTTCACTCTTATTCGTCTCGTCAGTTGTGCAAGAATAAGAGTTATGTGCGACTTTCAACTGCAAGGTTTCCGATATTTCGCGTTGAGTGGCAACGAATACCTTTCGACAACGCAACAATATGCATCGACTTCCTGTATTACCCCCTGATGCTAGGTATTTACTCGTCATCGCCTGCGTCCTCGCAAGGCAGACAAGACAACGGGGCGCGCAGCGTGTGCGGCAAATGGACAGGATGCCTATCAGGCAGAAGCGGACTCCTGAGGATGCAGCCATTTGGACGGCAGACGAGCACTCGACCAAGTGCGGTGCCACCCTTGCCACCGAAAGTAGTAGGATAACGGCGACGTTAATAAATACACAGTATCGGGCGAGCCTACGACGACAAAAACGACGTCATGGAGCGCAGGCGCAACCCGCAAGGGCACGAGGCGGCTGAGGCGTCTCGTATTGCCTCGAAGCTCCCCTTTATCTGGAAAAAAAGGCGAGAACAAACTGAACATTTTCTCCCCGCCCGTCGTGCCGGAGATAGTGACCTTGGGTGATTGCAGATCTTATTCGGTGCAAGGAGGTTTGTATGCTTTCCATCACCATGTCGCTGTTGCATCCGTTCGCTAAAACCAGGGGAGACGATCTTCCGTACCGTGGCTGCACGTCTAGGTGCGATGTGTCCCCGCGCTGGTTGGGCAGCGTCGGGCCAGCGGCCGCAGCTTTTACGGCAATCAAATGACCAGAAGCTAGGCACAGGCACGCCACGCCAGCAGCCCAGCCCGCTACACAACTTCCGATCCCTCCCGCTCGGCCACTCGAGTCTCGAGACACTGCAGCGGCAGACAGCCCACACAGAACACACAGAGCCGATCCTCGCCAACTATTAGTCCCACCCACGGCCGGAGCCAAAGTGGCCGCCACGCCAGCCAAGAAAACAGCCAGCGGCAAAGGCAGCCAAGCAGCGGCAGCGGTACCGACAGCATCAACACCAGCGCGAGCGACTTCCCCCCCTCCCGTGTACGCCTCCCGAGCGGGAGCGACCCCGATGAATGAGCTCACGCCCAGTCATCCCGCGCCCCAGCCGCCGCCGGTCTCATCGCAGTCGCGTGGCCTCGCCACGCCCTACGCCGCCTTCTCCGCTGCGGGCGCAATGAACGCCAACGTCGTTAATCTCGCCGCTGTGGACCGTGCCAAAAGGTTTGAAACCGAATTCTTCTCTATTTGCTACCTACACTTTTTGGCTTTGAAGTTGAAGCGACAAGGCGCGCGCTTTGCCAGCCCCCGTCCCCCTTCCCCTCTTCTTTTGTCTTTCAAATGCAAAAGGAAACGATTTCGTCTACACCCCCAGTCCTCGTGGCATACGACCAGCTGAAAACGAGGACGAGGGGAACAGGACCGAGAAGAGGAATGGGGGACACACGGCACTTCTTTGCTCAAGCCAACAGCGACAAAATGGTTGGTGACTAATTGCTTTCCTGGTTTTGTTTTTTGCGCAGCTTTCAGGGCGTTCCTCGTGGTGTGAATCTGGGCAATGTCAAGTACCAGTCGCATCCACAGCAGTTGCAACAGGTAAATGAGTTTCATGCTGGACCCTATGCACCTGCAAACTTTTCGCTGAAGGGCCCCGGGGACAATCGACCGGTTAACAGCAATGGAGGAGGCAAGTTCGATTACGCACCGCCTAGTCAGCAGTACTCGCCGCATCCGACGCAGCAGCAGCAGTCGTACGTTGCACCATACGGCTATCCGTCTTACTCGCAGAATTATGGCAATACTGGAGACTATCAGCAGCAGCAACAGCCTCAACAGCAACAACAACAATCCACGCAGCAACAGTATGGAGGCTATGCTCAAGGCAGCGAGACAAATCCCTTAGGCATGTTGGTGACTTCGGCGACGAACCCGCAGGCCTCTCCCGACGCTATGCCACACGAACCTGTCAATATCGGACTGAAGGACGCAGGAGACCGCAAATACCGACAGCCTTTTAACGTGGTACCTACCGACTCGTTCCTGAGCTCCAGTGGTGGCTATGGGCATGGCGTTGAACGTCCTGGTAACGTGGTGCAGATCAAAACTACTTCGAGCAATACGCAGCAACAGCAACCGATGTACCAGCGCTCAAACATGTATGGAGGTACGGCGTATTTTTCGCAGCAGCAACAGGTGCAGCAACGTACGCAGGAGCCGACGCAACAACACAATCCGCTGGATCTGGTGCCTCCTAGTGCCACAATGCCGGCAAGCTTCGATGCTAACGGTAATGGAGGTGCTTCTTCGAATATGGGACGGGGCATGAGCAATGGTGTCGGTGGGATGTTTAATACGGGATCGCGAATGCCCCAGTTCAGTCCTAGTGGTTCGGGTCCTTCGCTGACGACGAGGTTGAAAGATGGAGGTGTGGACATATCGACCGGTGCTTCTTCGAATGGAAGCCACTTGCCGTTTATGCAGCAGCAACAACCCACCGCCAAGTCGCTTGAACTTACTCATCCGACGTCGTTGTATGCAGATGTCGCGAGCTCGACAACGTCCATGTCGATGGTCAGTCTATCCTCGGATGGTCCGGCGGCTTCTATCAATGCCAACGCGTTGTATCCGATGTCATTAGCTCCATCGTCATCTCAGCTCAACTCAAACGGCGAAAATACATGCAGTTTGTGCAGTGGCGCACACAGCGACCGAATCGCGAACAATTGCGGCCACCGTTTCCACGCCCAATGTTTGCACTCATGGGGAGGATCGACAACCTGCCCACTATGCGCACAGGTACGTTTGTATTGTCCACTGGTTGCTAGTTTCTTTAGAAAAGTGCTCACGATACTTATGCTTAATTTTGTGGACTTTAGGCGTCGAACACTATCACGAACCTCCCGCAAGCGGCAGGTGCGGTTAGTTATGGTCTCGGAGCAGAGAATGTCACGATATCCCAGAGCTCAGCAGGACCAGGAGAGATGCCGTTGAATACTGGTGGTATTAACAACAGTACTGCCGCTAATAGCGCTGTGTCCATACCGCCCAATTCTGTGGGATCTTCACAAGTTGCGGCTATCAACAGTATGCACGTGAACAATCCAGGTGGACGTCCACCTCCAATTGACACGCGCATTGTTGATGCTCGTGTTGGGCCAACAACACTGAGTGGAGGCAAACGTAGTGCGACATCTGCTCGATCGGGATCCAGCAGTACCGGACGTGTACGTAAAAACAAGAAGCTCAAAGACTGTTCAGTGCCAGGTTGCGATCGTACTGTTCGCTCGCGTGGACTTTGCAAGGGTCATGGTGGAGGACGTCGTTGCGGGTTTGCCGGTTGCGGTCTTAGTGATCAAGGTGGTGGCTTCTGTATCAGTCATGGCGGTGGAAAGCGTTGCCAGCATGAAGGATGCGATAACTCGGCGCAGTCACGTGGACTGTGCAAGTTACACGGTGGAGGTAGTCGCTGCACGGTTCCTAACTGCACGAAAAGCTCACAAGGTCGCGGACTATGCCGTGCTCACGGTGGTGGCCGTCGTTGCATGGTCGAAGGGTGCAATAAGACTGATCGTCGGGCTGGATACTGCGTTACTCATGGTGCTGACAAGAAGTGCATCATCCCCGAGTGCTCCAAGACTGGTCGCATCGACAATCTGTGCACCAAGCACTACTTCGAGCGCCACCCAGCGCAACCACCAGGAACCGTGAGCACGACTCCGCCTCCTGTCATCACTGTTAATGCCAACACCAGCGCTGCCAGAGCCCGGGCTGAGAGAAAGAGAGCAGCTGAACAGCAGGCTGCCGCCGCCAACTACGCGAGCATGTCTTCCGTGATGCTTGCTGGACCAGTTCCTTCTTTCGATGATCGGGTAGGTGGGGCGGTGGCCAAGACGGAACCGTTTTAGACATCCATGCCAACCTGCTTGCAACACTATTGGTGGCTATCGCACTGGTCATGAGATTGTAAAAAAAAATTGGACTCATGGTTGGAATGCGAATGCTGGTGATGGTGAAGAGAGCTGCGAGGGTGGATGGATCGTCGGGCGGACCGAGGAATGTATTTGTAACGAGGCAAAATACGCGAAGTGGAATTTACATGATAAAGACGCGAGCTGGATGGAAACTCGAGCGATAAAAGAATCGGCTGCTCGGCGACCGATGAAAATGGACGACCGACAGATTTGAAAGAAAAGTGAAGACGAGACGAATGGTCACGATGAAATTGAAGTGACCGAAACTGAAGTTGAAGACAAGATTGATGATGAAGAATGGCCAAATGAATGAAGAAGGGCCGCACTGAAATTGCAAATTGCGCAAATTGCACACCCCGGCACCAAGTGAAAAATTGAAAATGAAATTACAACTTTTGAAGCACCAGGGTGAGCGAAATGCGAAAATGCAGTAAAACAGAAAAACAAAAAAAAAAATTGAAAACACCCAGGGTAGCTCCACGCTCGCTAGTTAGCGTTTCAGGACTCTTCGGCGGACGGGGATGAAGATCAGGAATCATTGAAGTGCGGAAAGGACGACGACGCAAAGCCAGCAAGTGAGGAGACATGCCCATTGCATATAGGAAAATTCAAGTGACGTAGTAAAGTGAGCACCTCCCCAGGAATTAAAATTGGGGAGGAAGTTGAGGAAATAACGAAGCTCACAGATGAATGTTCAGAGATCGATGGTCTCCGTTTGACCATCGACTTTCTTACTAGGCTGACTGAGTTTGTAGTGCTGCTAGTTGACGTTTCAACTCCTGCTGCTTCTTGAGTGAGATCGCACGTCTGTCGATCACGGATCGTACCATGTTTTTCAGTTCCTTGGCGCGCTCCTCTTTAGCCGTTGCACGGGCCACGCGGCGCTGTTCTTTGTCCGCTTCCACTGCTCCAATCCGCTCAAGCAAGAGGCGCTTACTTTCATCGAGTTCCTCTTTCGATAACAGTTTCTCCTCACTCCCTGCAACTTCTTCGAGATACGATTCACACACTCCTTCTGCTTTTCTGACCGCTTGAATCCACTCGAAGCGGTTTCTCACCTTAGCGATTTGCTCGTCCGTCATATTGTCTTGCTTCATCCTAGCCTCAGCTTCTTCGAGTTTACCCAGATACAGTAACCGCGATACGGCGCCATTAGTGTTCCGATCGACAGCCTTTTCAGCCCAGGACGCTCGAATGGCTTCGAATTGAAGCTCTTTCGCGTTGTCTGCCTGTAGTTTTACGTCCTCCGAGCTCCAACAATTGAGTCGCCATTTGATGCCACTCGGACGAGATGAGCGAGCAGAACCAGGTGGTGAGACACCAGAGTTTCCCTCCAGCGACGTGTTCTCGTCCACTGACGTGGTTGTGAGTTCCTTTGACGGACGATTTGAGTTGTTGCGGAATGGACGACGGGATTGCAACTCGTCTGGTACGATGCAGGTGGTTCTGTCGATGCTGCCTTGGATAATATACCCTCGCTTATCATCAGACTGTGACTGGCCATCAGCTGCGGTGACACACGGGAGCTGCAATAAGCGAACTTCCCCCTTCGAACTGATCTCGGAGATTCGTTGAGTTTGGTTCATACCAAGGTCAAAGACCTCCAGCTTTGCTGCGAGAGTGTTTACAACAGCTCCGTCACTCAGGAGTTGGAGCTGAAAACTCGTCCAGATTGACGTCTTCGGTGCCATAATTACATCTCGGAAGCACAGCAATGGCTTGTTCGGCTCGTAGACCCCCTCGAATTGGGTGATTTTCATCTCATGCGTCGTTGGCTTCGTGAAATCCCAGTCGCTAGCGAGCGTGAGCTTCCATTTACCTTCCCGGACGTGGAAGTTCCCAGGAGCACAGTCAATTATCATCGTGTAAGCTATCGGAGCATTACTTGCGAGGTTCGAAACACTGGGAAGCGATACTTTGGTACAGAGAGTACTGGCCTTCTTGACTTCACCTGTAGCATCGTTCACAATGGAAATATGCGTGAAGCTTGAGAGCATCTCCTCAGATAGATAGAGATCAATTCTCAATTCAGGTGATGGCTCCTTGTCTCCGTCTTCGTGAGTCGGTGGAACAAGTTCAAAGCTTTGTTTGAACAAGATGTTCCAAGTCCCTGGCAACATGACTGGATAAGCTCCATCACATTCAATCACGTGGAAGTTGGATAGACTGCGCCAGTACGTAGGAGCATCTTGAAATGATACCTTTTGATTCGACTCAACCACCAAAGAATAGCCGTATCGAAGAGATTTTTGCGAGTATACACGATATACAATTTTACTTTTACCCACCAAGGGAACGCTGATGTACTCCGCGAAAGTCGAGTTTAATGGCAGAATCGCTGGTAGTGAAGACGTCGATGCCTTCTTTTCAATTTCTTCTATCAGAATCACGCTGCCGTTCGGATCGACGACAAGGTGAGTGGCCATTAAAACCGACGGCTTGCTCAGATTATCCAGGTCTTGATCATATTTTTCTGGTGATTGAACGGGAGTCAGTGAGGCTACAAGATTTACGGGTTCTTGAATCATGTGAGAAATATCGCTTAAATTGTCTCCAGGAGGTTGTTCTGGAATGGAATCACGCGCTGTTATCACCACAAATTGCACGCGCGGAGTTTCAAATGGCACGAGTGGTGCACGTGTATCTTCAACACCTTCAGGAGGAGGCTCTGGATTTGGCATCCATTCACGAATAAATGTATCGGAGTATTGAAGGACTTGATGAACCAGCAGAAATACGAGCTCGTTTACATCGTTCGTTTCTTCTGAAATGGTGGCCGGAGAGCCTTGTCGAACCACTTTGAACGTAGTGCTACCAGTGTCTCCAACCACGCCAGTCACCAGAACAATTTCGCCGAAAACCATGCCGGCAACTCGATTGATACCTGTACAACAAATAACAGCTCGAGGCTACGAAAAACGTCACTGAATGATCCCTGATACAACACAAAATAATGAGGTGCAAATGCTTACCATAAGAGCGTTTACAGTCGCTAATGTCTCGGTCACTGCTGGAGATACACCAGTTGTGCTGTTTGCGACGGACTCGCTTTCTGTAGGCTGTTCGCTGGCTTCGTCAGGTTTTTCAGAGCTCAGAATGTACTACAAATGACAAGAAGAGACTTTTTGGAATACTTAACCACGGTAAGATTCAATACGCATTTTGTGCTTACCTGGCGTAGCTGATGGAAGACGTTCTCACTGAATTTGGTACTTGCTTCCGGCTGCCATAGCGAGACCTTCCAGCTGGTGAGCGCTAGTATAGTCTGAATCACGTTTTGACACATACCATCAGTGCTACTTTGGCGCTCCAATTCAGTTTCATGACGATGTGGATGCAACCAATAGGCCACTTTATACAGAGCCTTGACCAACAAGCTCGGCCAGATCTCGTTTTTCATCGAACTAGCCAGATAAATGACCTTTCCGTCAGCATCTAGCGGTAGCTTGTCGTCGATATCAATGCGACGCCATCGTCCAAAGACGAATAACTTGACGCTGTATTTCCCACCGGGGTTGTATACTGGTTGCCCAGTGTTGTCTTGAGGGTAAATCGCTTGCCACAAAAACGGCGCCATGCAGTTGTTGCTGGTCTTGCTGGAATCGTACAGTTGCTCCACAATTCGGAAGTACGACGCCATGTCAGCGTGAATTACATCTCCATGGGGAATCTCCGGCTTGTATACCGCATTTGGAGCAATTTCGATTCTTGGAGGGGGCATTACACCCCACGGAGATGTTGCATTGCTCACATCCATGTTAGTTGTAAGGGCGTCGTCTTCGTCTTGGCCATCGTCTATTAAGTCGTCTGCATCAAAATCCACTTCTGCCAGGAGATCTCGAGGTCGATCGTTGACAATATACGCGATGGCATCTTCGAATCCCATGTACATCCGTTCGCGATGCTGCTGCTCGAGTTCAATGCGTTCCTCCTCTTTGGTCCACGCCTCAAGTGCTTCTAGTTGCTCGACACTCCACCGTCGTTGAAAGTCGCGAGGGATACGCAGTGTGTGGTCGTGGTGATGCTCTGCAGTTGATGGTAGAGAGGAAGAGCTGGTCGTTGTGCCTGCTTTTTCGCTTTTCGGAACAAAAACCTATGAGGTTAATTAAACAGCACAAGCATTAGGATTAGTAGACAATGTAAGAATTCTCAAAGCTAAGGCCGTACGTGGGCATGTTTAGGAGGTGGAGGCTTTTTCTGCGGCTCTGGTTCTCCTTTCTTTGCAGCTGGGGCAGCTCCTTTCTTTCCAGTAGCTTTTGGTTCGGGAGTTGGTGGAGGTGGAGTCGCATGAACCACTGGTGTTTCCACAATGACAGGCAGGAATTGAGACGGACGCTTCCACATAATGGAATCTTTGAACTCAATCACCTAAGATGAAAAGAAATAAAATAATAAGTAGCGGATAAAATACTCAAGTCGAGCATCGAAGTGCAATATTCACCTCCTTCGGCAAAACCAGATTTTCTGGCGCTAAAGGGTCTTCAAAAGGTTGTTCCACCGTTCCCCAATGGTCCGCAGCTAGTAAAAACAGCAGCACCAGTCATATTCACATCTAGATCACGCTATAAAATTTGAATTTCAACGCACGCAAAGCTGCAGGGTCCATCCATTCTGGGAAGACCTCGTTTGGAACTACATTTGGCTTCCAGAGCGGCGGGATCGAGTCTGACGGTGGCAAATTTGGCGCTTGTACTGACTGGCGGTAGTTGTGAGCAGTGGGTGGTGGATTCAACGTCGATCCCTGCGCTGTGAGCTTGGATGGCGGCTTCTTGGGCGGCATGGTAGATCTCACACTAAAAGGTCGCCAATGTTGAAGATAACTTGAAGTCACTAAAACGAGGATAATAATGCCATTCCAACTGTCAAACTCAGAAGAGAAGAATGGAGAGCAGTCAGCTCACGTACGCGGATACGTGTTACCTTGCTGGTGTCGTATTCGGAGGCGCTGACGATAAATTCCTGACAGAACTTTCGAGCACAAGACGGTGGCGGGCGGGAAGGGCATTCAGGTAGCCTGCACCACGTGGTAAGGGGCCATGATGCAGATTGATTGTTTGTTCTTGAATATTTTTTTTTTTGCCATTTTTGCCCTTTTTGGGGTTTTTGCCTCCCCGGCCGTTTCTTGATTGCCCTTGCCTTTTCTTCTTGGGGATTTTGGGGTTGGTTGGGGTTCGTTTTGGGGAATTTTTAGGATTATAGTTATTTATAATAATATTGTGGTCTGCAGGGCGGAAATGAAGCCACCGACGCACGATGTACAGGCAGACGGAAGCTGGAATTGTGGCGCATGGTAAGAGTGAAGCTGTTCACGTTTCTTACTGTTATAATGCACCAATTTTATTGTGGAATAGTGGCACCGTAAACCGACGAGTATCCAAGGAGTGTTCACAGTGTCATGTTCCCTTTTATTCGTTGGTGACGACGGCAGCGCCGGCTCAGATTTTCTGCTCGAGATGCGGGTTCTTGAATGACGGAGAGAACCTTACGTGTGTGCAGTGTGACTACACGATTCGATCTACTCTGGACAAGATTAGCGCAGACTTGAGAGATAGTACCAACTTTTTAGCGCGAGATATGGGTGTCAACATCCACGTGAAGTGTCCTGGATGCTTCGTTGTGTGCTACGTGCCACCGGCCACTGCTTGTTTGCGGTGTGGATCATGTCACACATATTTTGCGTCGCCGTCAGTCGGAGAAGTGACGAATTTCCACATGAATCGTCTAGCGTCGTCCATCTCGAGCTCGTTCATGGGATTTTTTGGAAGCAAGCGCGGTGGACAAGAAGACAATGAGGCTAATCGTCGTCAAGAAGAGGCTCAAGAGGCTCCAGTTGGCAAGTTGATCGCTGCAGGCCAAGGTGTCGTGAATTCACCTCGTCATTCCTCCACCATCAGTGATGCAAGTGAGCTATCCACGAGTCTACAGCAACTTGGTGATGGCGAAGTATCCGGCGATGAAACAGAGGAAAAGCCCGACGCTTTTCGGGCTCATGAACATGCAGAATCAAAGGCTAAGGGTCGGGTGTCACCAACAGAGCAGAGGGTGAAGATGGAAACAGCGATAAAGGAATCTTCCATAGGCGAAGATTGTTCTTCGTCACGTGTGCAAACACGAAAGGAGGAGCCATTCTCGTCATTGGATTTGTCGTCCAGTTCGAGCAATTCTGATAAAGAGCAAGAGAAACCAATACTTGCACGGTCAATGCCAGTGCGCGCAGCACTTCCACCTCCTCGACAAGAACTGGTCGAGGTGGAGGGAGATATTGTGGAGCTTTAGTGGGGTCAGAACCGGAATTATCACGTGATGTCTGCATAGTTGGAATTGCAGAAGAACTGGGGCATATTTTGGCTTCCAAGCCTGCACAGATCAACTGAAGACACGAAATATTTGATTTGTTTAGGATACTTGCTCGAAAGTTGCACATCTTGTCTTTGCTTTGTAGCGGCCAGTGTCTCTCCAGTGTCGTCCCAACCTAATGCCAAAATGGAGTACTTAAGTATTGCACTATCAGGGCGACGTACCCTACAAGGTCAACCTTTAGCTTTGTTGGTTTTGCTACTTGCCGTCCTGACGGCAATACTGATACTAATAATACTGTTAGGAAGGACGATAGGTGTGCGACGGCGATTTCACCACCGCCGGTCTTCATAGTGGCTGTTGTAGCGTTCCTCAGGCATCGAGTCCCATCGACTACGACGTCCTTGACGCGGTGGTGGTGGTTGGTAATGATCTCTCGGTGAATAGCGATTATCTCGCGGTGAGTAAGCCGGTTGTTCTCTCTCCATGACAGCGTACGGTGGAACCTCTCCTCGAGGAGAGTAGCGCGAAGCTTCCTGCCACTGCACATTCTGCGACTCCATACTGTACGAGTGGTGCAGCTTCGGTCGCTTGCTGGTTGAAGGTGAATCTATGTATCGGCCGTTCGAACCGCTGTATCGATCATAGTGACCGCCGTATCGGTGATGATCATTGTGTCGGTCATCCATAAAGCCACGATCCGTGACTGCAGAGGCACTGCTGTGACGACGAAGGGATCGCTGGTGAGGTTGGTCGTGCTGGTAAGAAGATCTGCGATGACCCAGGTGGCTGTTTCCACTGTCGCTTCGTCCACGGCTTGACGAAGTCGGAGTGATAGGCCGATAGGGCTCCTCAGTTGGATGGTGCGCTGAGTACAGAGGGTCCGAAGCGGACGCGGCCATAGATTCTTGCTTTGCACGGAACTCGGCGCGTTGTTCCTCCAACTGTTCCATCTCAATCTTTTCAGCTTCACAGGCAATAGAGTAGAGTTTCTCAAGTGTTCGCTCCTGGTAATCCGCCTCCTCTTGTGTCGTCGCTTCGGGAGGAAATGAAAACAAATCCCTAGTCTCCAGCGCCCGTAGCTCCTTAATTAGGGTGTCACGCTTTGTCGCCTGGTCCATAAGATTTGTACGATATTGATCGACATGTCCACGACTGTTCTCGACATCCAGGTCGTAAACTTGCTGGTCCATCTTGCTCCAGGCGATGCCTCCTGCAGTAGGGAAGGTCCTGTCGTTCTCCTCTCCAACCACAACGACCTCGTCTTCTTCATCCTGTTCTCCACACGCGTGATGGAAGACACTGATACTTGATTCCAACTGGAACATCCTATCACTGAGCATATCGGCGCTGATGGTCGCATTCACCAGGTCCTGCAGGTGCGTGGCCATCTGTGTGGTGGCACTAGACTCTACCACCTCAGGCATATCCTCCAGCACGCGTTCAACCGTTGCATCACTGGTCATTTCCTGCAACAGCTTGGCTCTCCTCTCATCGTCCTTCCCGTCGGCTTCGGGGACCTCCTCTCTGCACGGAAATTACACACATATTAGAATTGTCCTATTCTTCCGACATATTTACCTATACTCTCACGTACGCTGGAGGTTTACCGGCACACACGTTCTCCAACATGGCCAGCAGTGGCGGTGTAACGACCCCGCGCTCCTTCCAGATGCCCACGATCTTGATGGCGCATCGCTTGACCTTCTCCTCTCCGTCTCGCATCACCAGCTGCACAATATCTACGAGATCCTTCTCAAAGGCCGCCGCGATGTGTCGTCCGAACTTGCGTACGCCCACCTGCATAGCATCGTTGGCTACGTAGAGGTAAACGATCTGGTGCTCGGCGTCACCCTCGCGGATGAGATCGCTCCAAAGCGTCACCATCTCGGGGAGGTGCTGACGGTAACTGAGCATCCATTGCGACACCTTCTGGATGCTCTGTGTCGTCACCTTGGCCTGCCGCAGTAGCCGCTCCAATTTCTCGCGTGAGTACATGATGCGGATTTCTTGATTTTTGACTCGACGGTAGAGCTCCACCAGGCGGTAATGTACCGGTTTCAAAAAAACTTATCAATGGCATAATAAAACTGTAACAAAGCATGACCCAAGAAATATTGTTGTTGATGTACCGGGGTGAAAGGTATTTTTGAGTTGAAGTGAGTTTTTGACGTTGAAAATGCTTGAAACGACCTCGCCAGGAATAGCGTGGACGGCTGAGTATGGGAGGCTCCACAGGAGAGCGGTTGCATTCACTGGTGACTTCCAACGTGCTCCGCCTGGTCGCGGCTAGTTGAGGTTTTTGCCTCTAGCAAACGAGTCCGAGCACAGACTTAGAACGACTGGAATAGTGATAGGAATATCCGAGGAAAAATGTTCATGAACGGTTCGTCGTTCGATGACGACACCCCCTCTCGGGGCGGATCAAGGGGGAGAAAGGGTGGGGGCCGCGATGACGACGTGTCAAACGCGGTGGAGGTGCTCACGCTGGACGACCACCGCACCGGAAGTGGTGGGATGTCCGCTCACCCGAATTCCCTTAAGGACGACGACTTGGAAGGTGAACTAGGAGGGGCGGAATACCTTTCAGGTGCCCGCTCCAGCGTCATCCAGCAGCAACGCGAACTGCAGAAGAAAAAGCTCCAGGAACGCATGGGAGGGGGTACGACGAAGTCGGATGTTGGCCTTGGCTTTAGAGATACTTAATGTCAAAGTCTGTATGTGCAGGTGTTGTACGCACTTCCCTTCCCAAACAATACTCTGCTCCGCGATCGATGGATGTCGATGAAAGACCTTCGTATGTCTGCTTTGAATTGTTGGTTAGTGCTATTTTATTCTGACGTCGGCACTGTGTTGTTTCTATCAGACGCTTCGGTCGAGACGACGACGAGCTAGACAATGACTCATCACGAGCTTCTGGGCGTCGTGCAGGGTCTTCGCGGCAAAACGCAAGCAGCCGCGGCGGCTCTGGGGGCCAGTCGTACTCTCGTCGCAGCCGCGGCGATTCTGACGATGATGATGACCGACGCTCGAGTCGTCCTGGTGGCTCACGTGACTGGGATCGAGACCGTGACCGTGAACGCGATCGGGATCGCGACCGAGACTATGACAGGGACTACGATCGTGATCGTGGAGGCAGCCGTGATCGAGACCGCGACCGAGGCGGACGAGGCGATCGCAGTTACTCTCGTGACCAAGATCGCGACCGAGGTCGGGCTCGGGACCGTCGCAGTGACAGCGATGATTCGGATCGTGATCGCTCGCGAACCCCCAAAGGTGCTCGCAGCGGATCTCGCCGTGGCAAGGAATATGACGATGCTCCATCCAAGAGTTCCAAACGTGGATCAGCCAACAGGTACGCATCATGTCCAAAGTGCTAGGTACTAGTCACCCTTAACATGTTCGTTCCAGCGGTCGTGGAGGGCGTGACGATGACGACGACGATCACCGTGGCGCCTCGGGTGGCCGTGGGGGATTCGTACGCAACGTAAGTATTTAGGCTTCCGGCCCGTCCTCACCTTGGAGCGTGTTTTGATTATTGTATGCTTCTTTACACAGGTGAATACACGCGGACGTTCTGACTCCCGCTCACGGTCACGGTCTAGATCTCGCTCGCGATCTCAGTCCCGATCAGCATCGGATGCTTCGTCGGACGATGATCGCAACCGGCATGCACCCACTTCTCCATCGAGTGGACGTGACGGTGATAAAGGCCGAGCTGCCACTGCAAATGTGCGGAAGCCGAAACTTGACATCACGGACATGCGTGCGTTCACCATGCGCCCCATTCCCAAGGCCTACGATGTGGTGGAGTGCTACATTGAGCGCAACAAGTCTGGCGCGAACAAGATGTTCCCTGAGTACTGTTTGTACATGAAGGAGGGTGACCGCTTCTTGCTCACGGCGAAAAAACGCCCGAAGAACCGCACCAGTAACTACCTCATCTCACTACAGCGTGGAGATTTGCTTCGACGTGGCAGTGACAACTACGTGGGCAAGCTACGTGCCAACTTCTTGGGCACCGAGTTCACGATCTATGATAACGGCTCCAACCCAAAAGATGCCGATCAACAGACTATCACGAGCAATCCTGCAGGTATTCGTCAGGAATTGGGCATTGCCATGTACGCAGCCAACGTGTTGGGACACCGTGGGCCAAGGAAAATGAAGGTTTGTGTTCCTCGTGTGCGTGAGGACGGCACACGCGTTGTCTGGAGACCACTAACCAAGGAAGATGAGATGGTTAACAAGTGTAAAGAGCAAGACCACACGAACCTTACGTACCTTATTAACAAGCCTCCGCGCTGGAACGACCAAGTATGCGCCTATGTACTTAACTTCAATGGCCGCGTGACCATGGCTTCTGTCAAGAACTTCCAGCTCGTGACTCCAGAGGATCAAGAGACTGTCGTGCTCCAGTTCGGACGAGTCGGCAAGGATCTCTTCACTATGGACTTCAGATGGCCACTATGCCCCCTCCAGGCCTTCGCCATCACACTCAGCAGCTTCGACTCGAAGCTTGCTTGTGAGTAAAAGACCAGGAGAAGTATGGTTGCTAGCATGAGCGTTAGCGTGAAGGTCGAAACGTACATATTGACACCTTGAATTCTGCATAAACTACTGCATCTAAGCATAATAAAAAGCTCTCAACTTTCTCCTTGTCATTCGTGTTGCTCCCAAACTGCTGCATCGCAAAAACCGTTTTGTTTCTTGGGAATCTTGTTCCCATAATTACGAATGGAACAAGCTGCTGGTGTGGATTTCCGCGCGAGCACAACTACTTTGACTTGTTCAAGAATACATGACACTTGATCGACGCACCAAATTTGATATCAAGGCTACCAGAGTCAGGAATGGCGCCGGTGCTGCTGCATCGAGCCAATTCGCAAGTGTTCAAGAGCGTCGTGCCATGAAAAAAGTGGCTCAACCCGAGTACGCTTACACTGGCTGTGTGCCATACACTCCTGCAGATGACGACGCTGATGTCGTGCCTAAGAAAAGGAATCCGCCGATTCTTGGATATAGAGGCCATCTTCGTAATGATGAAGACCGAATCGGTACAACGTTTTCGCAGGGTCTTACAGTCGCGTCACGAGCTCCAGAACGTGCTTTTCCGGCTCCTCTCCCAGGCGCGAAAGTTCGACCCCCAGCCAACCAGCCACGTCAAGTTCGTTTTGCTGAAGACACAACTTACCAGCCAAACATCAAAGCCGGGGTGTCTCCACGATCTGGGTATGGTCAATTCGACAATGCAAGTGGATACGGAGCATTCGCTACACCACCGGCCAAGGCGAATATGTCACCACGCTCAGGATATGGGGCTTTTGACAATGCAAGTGGGTATGGAGCATTTGCTGCACCACCTGCACAGAAATCTGGAGCAATGTCATCACGGTCAGGTTATGGGGCTTTTGATATTGCTAGTGGTTACGGAGCGTTTGCTACACCACCAGGACATGCAGATATGTCACCTCGCTCGGGTTACGGAGCATTTGACAACGCTAGCGGATATGGCGCATTTGCTGCACCCCCCAAAGGAATGTCACCTCGGTCTGGTTATGGAGCGTTTGATAATGCTAGCGGGTATGGAGCCTTTGCAACCCCACCTGCTCAAAAAGACATGTCACCACGCTCAGGATATGGAGAATTTGATAATGGCAGCGGGTATGGTGCGTTCACTGCTCCTCCAAAAGAGATGTCTCCCCGATCTGGGTATGGTAAGTTTAACGACGCCAGTGGTTATGACAATTTTGCTTCGCCTCCCGATCGAACGCAAGGAGCTAGTAAACCAGATCTATACGAACTCACTCAAGGTCAATTCGACCAACGTGACGATCGTGTTCACCCTTCCAACAACCAGATCCAGGAACTTCGAGAACAGCATCGCGATACTAACCGAGGAGTACGCAGGGCCAAAACACCTTCCGATCCAGTCCTTCAAGCAAAGTACCAGCACGCGATAAGTCGTATTGGTGGAGTGCAAGCAGCATTTCGGCTTTGGAATTCTGCTGGACAAACAATATGGCAACGGTATATGACACGTACAGAGCTCCTTCAAGCCGTGAGACGGAGTTTTGAGAAGCACGAGCGAACCAGTATGTATTTTGTGTGTGTGTCCTAGTTTCTGTGAATGATGCTGTGGCCAAACCTAACGATCCGTGTCTGTGCTGTTGTTAACGCTAAATTACTGCAGACCACGGAATCATGACAAAGTCACAACTGAAGGAAGCACTACGAGAGCTTGGATGTGTCTTTACCGACGACCAGGTAGAGAACTTTCGAGTGGAATGTTGTGAATAATTTACAGAACAAACTTGCCGTTTTGAATGTCGGTGACAGGTTACAGCTCTGTTTGGAATGTACGATCAGCATTGCATTGGTAAAGGAGTACGCGTTGCCTCTGATGTAACCATAGTCATGTAACGAGAATGTGGTTCATTTTGATTCAGGTGCCGTGCCGATGTCATCTCTACTCCTCGCTTTAACCGAAAAACTATGATCAATGACAAATACAAATACCACAAATGAAGCAAGAACGAGCTAACTTACTTACGAAGTATTTTATTTATCTAGCTTTTCATGCCATCGCAAGTTCTAGGCAGTTCGAGATTCCATTACTCTATATCGAATTTTCACTAAAATTCGAGATCGATTCGTTGAGCACGTTTTACATCCTCAGCGTAAAGAAGCTATCGAAGCCTGACGGACCACAGAAACGAATTACGCTCTATCTAAGAGACGGTACGCGGTGCAACTCCTGTCAAAAAATCCAAGCAGAAGGTTAACTGCGTAACACTGTCGTCGCACGACGCACGACGTGCTCGCAAGGAGAGCTCATTACGAATGTCAGGAATTAAAACATGCGATTGATATCGTACAGTGGTCGGTTCTGGTTGCTAAGGTGTTCTACGCCTTGGTGTACTGGTATCGAGGGTATTCCATCGATGGGGTAACAGGATCGTCTTCCAGGTCAGTATGGTTACGGCCAAGCTGGTCTCGGCGACGCAGACAGAAGGTGAAGATGATGATCATGAGTGCTCCGAGACATATGAGCACGCTGCCGATGCCCATATACAGCGAGTAGTCTTCCACGAGGTCCAAGAACTCGGATCGGCATTTATCATATGGCGCAGTGCCAACAGTAATGTTCGACAGTGATCCCGTCGCCAAGAACTCCCCGCAATAGACGAGAGTTTCATTGGTTCTAGGACATTGACTGTCTGCCCAATCGAACACCTTCGTGTAGTTCTCGAACTCGCGTGCTGTGTCACATCCATCGCAGAGACTCTCGAGTTGGCTATAGTCGCTGAGGTATTCGTCACACAGCGTATTCACACCGCCGGTCGTGTTCTCGAATAGTGCCACAATTGCCGTATCGAGCTCGGGAGCGAACATGGTCAGCGCTTCCGACACCGACGCGTCGTTGCAAATATATTCGCCTTGCGCGTAGCAGTAAACCTGGTCGAAGTCGGTCTTTACGGTCTCTTCAGTCTCCTCAGCAGGGTATTTCTTGTCGCTCCAGTCGTTGGCCTTGGCCATAAGGATGAATACAGCGATAGCGACAATCGCGAACAGAATCAGGAACAACAGCACCACGATCGCGTACGTGCAGAGTCCAAATCTCCATCGACAGAGCGCTGCAAGGGTCCCTAACACTGCGAGACCGATGATCACAGCCCCGATCACAATGAGGGCGGTCACTGCGTCGTCGATATTTGACCAGTAGCCCTGAATCACGTCCACCCAGCCAGCGTGGCGCATGTAGATACCCACATACAGCACCAAGGCGCCACCGAGTGCTAGCACGCAGTTAATGGCAATCAGGATAAGCTGAGTAGCGCATTTTCCCAAGTATGAACAAATTCCCATGATTGATATAGTCGAAGGTCCCAGCAAATTGAAGAATGGCCAAACTGAGCTGCTCGGTAGGGACTGTGACGTACGCGACAACCATCTCGCTGATCGGATACTAATTGCTGCAGGATGGCAGCTTACAATACCCTTGTCAACCATCATTTCAAATGTATTCTAGTAAGTACGATATTATTTGTAAAAGGTCAAGACGCGAAATTTTCGGCCGATTTTCAGGAAAGTGATCGGCTCGCCGTTCCCGACTTGGCTTCGGCAATCATGGTAGCAACTTGCTACCATGCTACTAGCAAGTCCTGTAGCTGGGTACCGTATCCAGCGTCGAGACTCCCATCAAATGCCACGCTGCTATGATAGTGTCGATACCATTGATAGTTAATGGCGTCGGCGTCGATACTCCCAGCGACAGCAGGTGTTACAGTCACTTGGTAATGACCTAGAAACGTCCGTATGCCGAATGCGTTTGTGGTGTAGTGGGGCGTCGATCGCGGTGCCGCAAGATGCAAGCGAAAGTGATCAGCATGAGCGCCCCAGCGCACACAATAATGCTTCCGATGCCGAGCCAAAGCGCATACTTCTCCACAAGGTTCAAGAACTCCGTGCGGCATTCGGAATACGGAGCCGTCCCGGACGAGCTGTTGGTGTCCCCGGTGGCAAGGAAAACCCCGCACCAGATTAAGGTATCGGCAGTTCTAGGGCACTTGTCATTTGCCCAGTCGAGCACAGACGAGAAATCCTCGAATTGCTTCGCTTTTTCGCAGCCATCACACACGCTCGAGAGCACATCGTAGCTGTCCAAATAGTCATCACATAGCGTGTTGACACCCCCGGTCATGTTCTCGAAGAGCGATGTAATGGACGAGTCGAGTGAGGGGGCGAACATCGTGAGTGCGTCTGAGACCGAAGCCTGGTTGCAGATAAACTCGCCTTGCGCGTAGCAGTACACTTGATCGAAGTCTTTTTTCACTGATTCCTCGTCGCTGTTGGCTGGATACGTCGAGTCTTCCCAGTCATTGGCGCGATGGTGTAGCAGGAAGGCTGCTACCGCTACTATCACGAACAAAATGAAGAAGAGAAGCATCACACTCGCGTAGATGCACAGTCCTAAGCGCCAACGACATAATGCCGCGATTGATCCCCACAATGCCAACCCAATGATGATAGCACCGATGACGATCAGTGCGGTCACAATTCCGTCAATCGGAGACCAATAACCTTGGATCACTTCCACCCAACCAGTGTGCCGTAAGTATATCCCCACATATAACACTAGCGCTCCGCCCAATGCAAGGATACAGTTGATCACAATCAAGATCACCTCGCTAACGCATTTGGTAAGACAGGAACACAGCCCCATTCTGTCGTTATTTCCTTGCTTCGGGTGTGCGCGCTAGAAGGATAAAGGCAAAATGCCGCAACTTTCACAGGCACTACCCTTTTGTGGGTGATGAAATCCATCCTTCAACACTCCAGCAGCCATTAACGTTTCAGCACTATGACACCGCCATCAGTCGTAGGAAGGAATTCAAAATTTGAAGCATTTAAGTTCAGCATAAGGCGTGGCGGGCACCACGGTGTCGTAGCATACACGTGAAGCAGCTTATTAACTCTGCACAACATTTGATTCTTCTATCTGCTAGTACGCCTCATAGACGTCATACATGTACATGTCGCGACGACGTAGATAGCACGACATGATAATGACTGCCACTGAGCCGATGACGACGATGACACTTCCGATTGCCAGGTAAAGTGAGTAATTGCTGACAAGGTCGAGGAACGCGCCTCGGCAGTGTGTGTAAGGATCTGTTGTCCCTGTTGTGTTTGCTGCATTCCCGTCGAGAAACCAATTCCCACACCACGCCAAAGTTTTCGCGTCAGGTTCACACTCGTTTCTAGACCACTCGAGTACAGACGAAAAGTGGTTGAACTCACGTGCTTTATCACATCCGTCGCACACATCTGCGAGCTCTTTATAATCGTTCAAGTAGTCATCGCAGAGTGTGTTGACACCGCCCGTAACGTTCTTAAACAAGTCGGTGATAGTCGAATTCAGGTCGGGTGCGAACATGGTCAGCGCGTCGGAAGCTGAGCCTTCGTTGCAGATATACACGCCCTGGGCGTAGCAGTACACTTGGTCAAAATCGCCCTTGATGTCTGATTCGCTACTGCTGGCCGGATACGCTTCATCCTCCCAGCCAGAAAACATATCCCAGAGCAGGAAGGAGCAAACGCCAACAAGGGCGAAGAGCAGCAGCACGAGTATCACAAACACCATGTAATAGCAGAGCCCAGCTCTCCAGCGACAAAGTGTGGCTACAGTACCAAGTGCTGCCATGGCCATGACCACGCCGGCCACGCAGATGAGCGTCGTAGCGAGTCCGTTAATAGGAGACCAATAGGCCTGGATGACTTCCACCCAGCCCGTGTGACGCACGAATACGGCCACATAGAGTACCAAGCCGGCGCCGAGCGCTAGGAAAACGTTGATGGTGATCAGCAGCAGCGCGCTCACGCACTTCGCCAAGCAGTCCAGGCAGCCCATGGCGGTCCGTTGGGCGTTCCGGTGCGTGGGCCGGTTTCAACTCGGAGAATTCAGTCAAGCGTGGCGTCTACAACCGGGAGTCAGACCAGGTCTCTCAAAACCGATATAGAAAACACTATTAATTTTAAAAGAGGTGGTTTACCACATCGATGATCGAAAAGTGTCGGGTCGTGATCCTCTTATGGTACAGTACTGTACCTCAGAAATTATCGAGTGAGGCTGTGTCACGACCACCCCATGCTGAACGAAGGCATTGCCGACGACTCACCACGACGCTGTTGTGTTGCTGACGGTGAGCCGGTGACTCATATGCTGAGTTTGAGCAGAAAAATGCTTTACCGGTCACCCTTTCGTGGCAAAAGATTGCGAGCATCTGTCCGCTGTCCAGTTGAAAGCCACACATGATTGGAAAATGCGATTGCCGCCTTTGCATGGCCGCAGCGTAGAGCGACGCATTTTACAGTACCGTGACAATATTTGTATTGCTCGGCGGGGCTGGAATCCAGCCTGGATAGCCGGGCAAATAGAGCGAGCAAGCCCTACAGCAACAACATATTGACAGCCTCGTCGAGATCGCAGCGTCGGGGTCTGTTTGCCTGGACTGACACCCCACGTGGAGTGATTTGTTCGGAGATTGCTAGGCAAGTTGCAGAACTCCATATTTCTGCGCTTCAGCGTTTGAACGTGTATGAATTTGCATGTCGAGTTGGGGATGCATGTCAAGTTTGAGTATCAGAATGAAAACTTCTTTTAGGACAGCAGTTCCTTCACTCTCTGTGATTCGCTAAAATACGGCAAACTCGGCTCTGATTGACCGGAATCCAGATTTTCCCATCTTATTGCTGCAAAAGATACAGCTGGGATTTGAGCCAAGCTGGTTAAACTCTACGGGGCGGTACGGAAATCATTCCCCGTTTTGGCGCTTCGGACGCGACAACCACAGCTCTCAACGCCTCGGACTACTCACAGCTAATACTCTCGTGACTATGCCTCAACTCACTGCCGCCGGCGGCCTCATGGTCCTGGTGAACATTGGCTTCCTAGTGGCTGGAGCTTTACTACTGCGCTTCAAATCGACGCTAGAAAGCAGCGGCTGGGCTGATGCTCTCGTGGGTACAGACTACGAGTCTGCTGCGGACACGGCTACTACAATGGTGCAGCTACTGGGAATCGCGGCTATTACGTTGGCGCTGGTGGGCATCGTGGGAGCTATCATCCAGAACCGCTTGCTGCTCCTGCTGTACTCGGTTGTAATGGTCATTGCGATGTCGGCATTCGGTGTCTTGGCTGGCACGGCATTCACATTCAAGACTAAAATGACAGACTGGGAAGAATCCACGTTCCCCGCCGAGGATCAGGAGACTAAGCTGGCGGAGACCTTTAATGAGGTGTACTGTTACGCCGAGGGATATTACTACTGCAACAACGCTACAGCGCAGGAGGCCTACACGACCTTTTTCCCGAATGCTTCGACTTCGCTAGTGAGTCTTCTACCCAACACAACGGGTATCGTGTCACTCTGCAATGAGCTCAATACCACTGTAGAAGGCCTCTCGACAGTGTGCGACGCCTGCAACATGTCGACAAAGTATACCAAGTACGACAGAATACTCACCTGGGCTGAAAGCAAGTGTCCGAGAACTTCAGTAACAGGTCAATGGTGTGCTTCGTTCCTTGCAACGGGAACTGCTGGTGCAGTGTACGACGGTGCGCCGTACGGTCAGTGTCGCACTATTTTCCTGGATGTGGCCATCGACTGGAGTGGCACAATGGCAATTGCTGGATTATTGGTCGCAATCGCTGCTGCTGCCATCGTTGCTCTGGCATGTTTCGCTCGCCGCTCGAAGGGCTCAAGCGATGAGCGTCTTACGAAGGTGTGAGCAGTGAAAGCTGTGTGTGTGCAACGAGTACAGTAGGTGCGGTACACTAACATGAAAATGCGGCTGCATGTGCCCTGTGAATATGAGAACCAATGAGTAGTACTACGCACGATATTGTTTAATACTACTTATCGTATTAAAATACTCAACTTTGCATGCTAAGTACTACTTAAGCAACTACTACAATACTACGTAGTACAATACTAATAGTACAGCAAAATTAAATTTTTGATGGTATTTTTTTCGTCCGAATGCCATCCCTGCAAAGGTTTATTTGGGTTATTCGGAACCAACTGAAAATAGTCCGATTTGGGTCGTAATAATATAAGCTTGGTTGGCTTATAACATAGTTCCAAAAACTCGTCGTGACGCATGATGATTGGCTAGGATGGCATTCAGACGAAAAAACCCCATTAAAATTTAATGGATTATTTTTCGTCTGAATGCCATCCTAGCCAATCAGATCTCTCATGTCCCATAACAACGGACAGAAAACAAATAATACTAGATTGTATTTACAAAAGTAATATAAATATTCGAATGTTTTTTGATACTGTAAAAAGTATTACTATTTAAGTACTGTTATGTAAGACTGGTGTGGCGTCGTATTGGCTTTTTGCTTGGCTGGCTGGCAACAGTTGCGCAGCAAGACACTACTTGATCCCGCTTAACCAAACACCTCTTGGGGTTACAATGGCGACCAGCGGCGAGTTCAAGCGCCTGGTGCTTAAGCAGTTCCCGGCCACGAACGAGGTGGAGACGGCCGAGAACTCGTACTGGAAGAAGTTTCATGCGCCGCAAGAGCTGCAGCAGGTTGGCCCCGTCACGCACATCGACGTCTCGCCCGTTGCGCCGCACCAAGTAGCGATCACCTCGTCCACGCGCATTCACCTATACAGCACCACGACCAACGAAATCGTTAAGACTTACAGTCGTTTCCGCGACGTCGTGTACTCCGGCACGTTCCGCTCGGACGGCAAACTGTTGGTGGCAGGTGGAGAAGCTCCCTACGTTCAGGTGCTGGACATTAACACTCGTGCAATTCTGCGTTCTTTCAAGGGCCACACTGCTGCCATCCGCAGCACCCGCTTCTCAGCCGACAATGTGCACGTGCTGTCGTGCTCTGATGACAAGACCGCCCGGTACTGGGACCTGCCTACTGCCAAGCCGCTGGGTTTGCTGGGAGAGCACTCAGACTACGTGCGCTCGTCAGCTGCCAACCCGTCGTCTCACAATGTTTGGGCTACGGGCTCGTACGATCACACAGTTAAGCTCTGGGACCTGCGTACGTCGGACCAGACAGTATCTAAAAGCACCATGAACCTGGACCATGGTGCTCCTGTCGAGGCGTGTATGATCATGCCGGGTGGCAGTCTGCTACTCTCGGCTGGTGGCAACACTATTAAGGTGTGGGACATTCTTAGCGGCGGACGGATGCTTCACCCTTTCTCGAGTCATCAGAAGACAATTACGAGCTTGGGTTTGGACGGTACGGGCACGCGTCTGATGTCAGGATCGCTGGATGGACACCTGAAAATTTACGACTTGAAGACGTACGAGCTAGCACACGGATTCAAGTACAAGAGCGGCGTGCTCACTTTCGGAATGTCTCCAACAAACTCGCACCTTTTCGCTGGTACGGTGGACGGTATCCTCGCTGTGCGTCGACGCACCTTGAAGCGCACAGAACAGAATGACATCAAGACTCGTCAGGCTATCATTCGTGGTGGCAGCTACAAGTACTTCCTGCGTGGCAAAAACGCCAAGCCGGCAGCTGCAGACTACACGGTGGCCACCACACGCCATAAGCGTATTCAGCCGTACGACCGCGCCCTGCGGAAATTCGACTACAAGAAGGCTCTGAACGAGGCTCTGGACACACGTTCGCCTGTCGTTGTCGCCAGTATGCTGGAGGAGCTGCGCCTGCGTGTCGGACTCAAGCGTGCGCTGGGAGGACGCGACGAGGAATCGCTCGAGCCTCTGCTCGCTTTCCTCATCAAATATGTGACCGACCCCAAGTATGCGTCGCTGCTCATCCACGTATGCACCATTGTGTGCGACCTGTACGCACCGAAGCTCAGTCAGTCCATGCTTATCGACAGCTTGTTCGTAAAGCTTCGCGAGAAGCTCAACGAGGAACTACGCGTGCAGAAGCAGGTGCTGAGTGTGGTGGGTATGATGGACTCGCTCATGGCTGCTCAATCGAACGGCACCGTCGGTGTGGATGTCAGCAGTTAGATTAGATCAGAAATACGATGTTGACTTCCCCGGTGTATAGATTTTCATTTTTTGTGCACAATGTTCTTGTTCTTATTCACTCGAGCATCCAGCTACGAGCAAGAAAGAGCCTCAGCGTTGAAGACCAGTAGTAGAGTATGCAAAATGGTAGCACGGTGTGCACCAACTTGATTTGGGTCCTGCTTCCCTGGTCCTTCGCTATTTGCTAGTTCTGTCCACTCAGTCGCAATCGTCCACCACCATTAACAACAAATCTATCTAGAAAGAGTGTGGATGACCTTGAGCACGTCCTCGAACTCAATGTTCTCCTGGACCTTCTTGGCTTGCATCTGGTTGTCCTCGTTGGGGTTGATCTGAATCAAGTTGTCGGCAACAGTCCACTTCTCGGCTGCAACGATGTCGGCCACCTCCTTGTCAGACACGTTGAGTTTAGCCTTGAAGACCTCCGTGGAGATGGCGCTGTGGCTGCGGCTGATAGCTGTCAGAATGTAGGCGCGCACCGACTCCAGGAAGCCTGGCACCTTCTCGGCGAAAGTCACGCTCTCCTTCCAGAAATCCTCGAACAGGCACGACTGGAGCATGAAACCCGTGTGAAGCACTGCCGTCACGTTGGCGTCCTACATCACCCCCAACATCAACTCGTTATTAGTCTGTAATGCAAGTATAATTTCCTCCAAGGCTGCTTTGTCGTACCTCGCGGATGCTCTCCGGGACCATCGTGGAGGCGCCGGTGAAGAATGTGGAGGGCAGGGCCATGACGCCCTTGACCAGAATCTTGGCCACGTTCTCGGCGCTGATTGTGGCCGGGTACACCTGGTACAGCTTGAGCAGCGCCAGACTGGCGTCAATGTCCACGGTCTTGTTCTGCACCTGCTCGGCCAGATACGTCTCCAAGACCTTCACACTGGACTCCTCGCAGAAGCCACGCCCATTATGAACGGCCTGCAGCTGCTGCTGCGTGGCCGAGGCATTCTCTGCCGTCACGAAGTCCACGATCGTCTGCTGCTGGAAGGCCGGCATGCTTGGCTTGATGCTCGCTCTGCTGTGTTATTGTGCTCCCCTTCTGGTCGATTGGTTGGGAGGCATCGAATATGTTATTTGAAAGGTCATGATCGAGATAGACAGGGTATGATGTATGGAAGTCTCAATACCTAAACCGGTCGGCAAATCTATATTTATTACCAATTGGAAAGTGCCAAAATAGACTCGTCACATGGCTACATCGCAGTTTTGTTGTCTTTTGTGGTTGCCTTCCGGTGGGCGAGGTTCGACCGGTCGATGGATAGCGGCGATCGATCGAGCTCGCTTTGCTGTCCGCAGCACCGCGCAACGATCGCCATGGGCAAAGGGAATGTGATGCTTCGCTCTCCTGCAATCCCACATCGGCAGCGATCAAACCAGGACGACGAAGGTGACGGCTCCAGCAATAACAGTAGCAATAGCAGCAGCACCACCAAACGGAAGACGATGCAATGTTCAACTTCAGCTTTTGCTGCCCCACACGACGAAGCAGCAACATTATCTTCAGACGCAACCGCCTCCCTTGAGGCTCAAGTTGAGCGCTCCAAATCCGTGATTGTGTTACGACGCTGCGAAGACGTAAATGTCCGCACTGGTGGCTTCCAAAAGATCAAGGAGGCTGCGCACCGCCTGGATATTCGTCGGCCACGGCAACAGCACCAGCACATGAAGGAATCCCCAGCAAAAGATCAGCTGCCGAAAGAGTCCGGTCTCAGGAAAGAAGGCAAACTTGAACAAACTATTTACACCAATTACACATAATTTCATTGTTTTCTTTTCGTCGCTTTGCCAAATCACACAAAAACAATAGCGTGCGACGATGGCGGGCAAGGGCGGCGACGTGACCGACGAGGAAGACATGGACCTTGACGTTGACACTCAAGCGCGTCTGCAGAATATGACACTGGGCATGAAGCAGCAGGCGGACGAGCTGCTGCTGGCCAACCAGCTCGACAAGGCGCTGACACTGTACCGGGAGCTCCTCATGCATCTTACGCGCTCGCAGGTGACACTGCTACAACAGAAAGAGCTCGTGATCTCCTGCCACATGAATGTCCTAGCGGCAATGAGCAAGGCGAGACGGTGGAGCAGCGTCATGACGGAGGCGACGGAGACGCTGAACGTGTTCGCCGAGCTCCAAGAGGCCAAAGTGGTAAAGAACATTCCGTCTGACGAGCAACAGAGGGAGAACGTGGTGCTCGCACGAGCGTATTACTTCCGAGGCTTTGCCTATTTGAAGCAGGGGGCTTTTCAGCTGGCACAACAGGACTTTCGTCGTGCGTTAGAGCTAAATCCCGAGGATGAAACCATTCAGAACGACTACAAGGAACTGCAAACAGCTTTGCAGGCGGAACAGAGGGTAAAACAGTTCATTGCTACGTCGATGAAGCTCTTTCAAGCTGGAAACTACAAGGCGGCGGTGGAAGCGTGTGTGAGTGCGTTGAAGGAGAGCCAGATACTGCAGAAGACGGACCTTACGGGACTGATTCATGGAAATTTGGCGGCCATCTACATGAAGATGAAGGACGACGCTAAAGCAATTGAGCACTATAAGCGCACCATGTTGCTAACTCGATGTATGGATAAGCCCACGGCTGCTCAGAATGAACGGGTGTACGATATCTTGGACAGCCTGGCTGGATGCTATTCACGCAAGCGGGACTACAGCTCAGCGTTGTCTGTAATCGAAGATCAGATTAAATTATTTCCTTCGTGTCCCGAGCGAAAGGACCGCGAGGCGATGATGTATCTTAACGGTGGACGCATTTGTTATACCATGGGAAGGTACGCTCAAGCTGAGGAACACTTGGAGAAAGGACACACTGTGGCATTGAAGGCGTTAAACCAATTGGACATTGCGTTGAATTGCGCATATTGGCTGAGTAAAGCCTACGCCAAGAACAGCAAATTTGAAAAGGCCATGGAGACACTCGATGCAACTATTGCTGAGCCTGGAAAGGAGGCAAATGATGCAGCCATTACAGACTTGCTGGAGAAGCTCTTGTTGGCAAGGCTGGATTTACTGGACCCAGAAACGAATGCATCTGCTAGTGAAAGTGACCTGTTCAAGGGCCAACGTCGGGAATCCCAACTTTGGCAAACTCTGGAGTATTTTGACGGAAAACGGCGGATTTGTGGGCATGTTCGAGCTGCAGAAGTGCTTGTCAACTTCTTAAAAACGAACGAAGGAGCTGGAAATGAGGATAACTGCTCGAAGATGCTGCGCGCTGTGGCGCTTACTGATTGTGTCAATATTGGAAAGCTGTCCAGCTCCGATGCCACAAGTTTCATGAAGCTAGCACTGGTTAAAGTTGACATGACCATTAACCAAAGCTCAGCATGCCGAAGAGATGCGAAGGAATTACTGGCGACATTGCTCCGCGATCTAGAAATACCTGGTGGTGCAGATCCGTCGTGCCGACTACAGTTGCGCAACACTGCGTTGCTCAAGTTGGTGGATATTTGTATCGAAGATGAGGAAGAGGAGTCCGATGAGGAGATTCGCAAATTACTCGAAGAGGCAATTGACGTGCTTTACGATGAAGTTGAAGCTGCGTCAAAGGCACAACTTGTGGTACTGCTACTGAAGATTGGGCGATGGAGAGCTGCTCGAGGGGAGCTTGTTGGTGCTGCAGAGGCTCTGGAGGAGAGTGTAAAGCTTCTGCATGATGCCTCAGACTCGAATAGTGACTGCTTGTATGAGTCACTTGTCGGGCTCTGTGTGGTGCAAATTCGGATGGGAAAGCTCGACAAAGCTACATGTGCGATGGAAGAGATTGAAACACTCCCAGTCACTCAAAACGCAAAAGAACTGGCGATCATTAAGGACCGACTGCAAGCGGCGATAATAGCGGTTCAAAAGAAGGCCAAGGAACCGGAGAAAGCATACCTGTTTGAGAAGCAGGACTCTGCTTCTAGCCACAGGTTTTTGTGCGGGATTAGCCAGGTGTGGTGGGGTCAATGGTGTGGGCCGCTGGTTGCCTGTATCGCCGCCGTAGCTGTGGCTTTGCTTTTTGCATGAACAGACCCGAAAGCCTGAGAAACATGAACTGTAGGATAGGATAGTACCAAGTCGAAAAAAATGTTGTGCGACAATCAATAGGGTCGGATAGTGTGCAAACTCTTTGAATCACTCGTTGTTCTTTGCGTCAGCGTTGATCTCGTCAGGTTCATCGTTATCGTTCGTGTCGTCATCATCGCTGCCTTCAGAACTACCATTAGAACTATCCTTCTCCTCGTCGTCCTCCCCGTCGCTCTCATCTGATTCTCCTTCTTTCGCGTCCGCTGCCTCTGCAAAGTAGTAGCACATTGTCAATTCTTGACCAAAGCTTCTAATGACACAACCTACCCATGGCATCGTGCTGCTTCATAGCCTCCAGTAGATCCCGCACGAGGCGGTTGCTGGGCTCTGCCTTCAGAACTGTAGTTCGTAGTGAGTCAGTAATTTCGTCGTTCTATCGGGAAGCCCACAGCTCATTACAGTAATCAGTTTCACTCACTTTCTTGTGCCGCTCGTTCTGCTTCGACGCTGTTTCGCTCTTGGACGTACTTGAGGAACGTCGTGAGCAGACTCACTGGTGCTTTACCGGGAGCCCAAGCGCCATCCACTTGGTCGTCCCACACTTTATCCACGCATTCCTGCCCACGTGTAGCCTCAACGCCACCTTCCTTTTCCTCTAGCGCCGGTGGCATCTTCAATGACCGGAACTCACGTCGCTTCGTGCACGGTCCTGTATTAGAGTCATATCATTTAACTTGATTCAAATATTGAGTCTTAAAAAATATTTTGCAAACTCAAATAGTACGCTCTCACTATAACATCCAATCCGCATTGACAGTCTCGAGCAATGGCGTCGAACGGGGTGAAGCAAGAGGAGACAGCGAGCGTCAAAGCGGAGGAGAGCGCAGACGACACGCAGGTCAAAGTGGAGGAGGAGGAGAACAAGGACAGCGTAAAGGCGGAGTCGGACGACGCCGCGGCCGTGAAGACGGAGGAGCAGAAGACGCGCGACGTGAAGCAAGAGAAGAATGGCCGCGTTAAGGCAGAAATCGTCGTCAACGGCGTGAAAATGGAGGAAAAGATCAAGAAACAGGAGATGGATGGGGTTCAGTCCGCAGTTGGGGTCGCTGGGGACGTGAAAATGGCCGTTCGGAGCGTGAAAAGAGCCGTCAAGAAGGACGAGGAGAGTAAACAGCAGGAGCAGCAAGAGGATCGCTCCCACATCCGACGCAAGGCCGTTATCTGTGATGCAGCGCTATGGGACTCGATTGAGTGGGTTGTGGCTGCAGGAGCTGAGGTGGATGCGGGACAGAGACTCGGTACAGCTGGACGCCTGGAGGAGGGCAATCAGAGACCGATGCAGGCCCCAGGCAAGGGACGGCTGTATATTTTGACCAAAGAGCAGTCGGACGAACTCATGGGCGATAAAGAGAAGGTGGCAGCGACTGCAATGAGGACTGTTGCCTTCGTGGAGTATTGTATTCACCCTGTTCGCAACGGCCGCACGTGTTTGATGTGCTTGGCGGCTGTGGATGACGACGAAGAGAATGAAGATATGGAGAGCGTTAATGTGGTCTCGCATGGACAAGTGATCCGACTTAACGTCGAGGAAGCGAGTACGGTGATGTTAAAATGCGTATTGTTTCGTGTTGTGGTGATAGCTGACTCTGGTTTTGTCGTGTTGGCTAGAAAAATTCGACTCGGATAACATTAGGCGGCAGCTTGGTGCGAAGAAACTGTCGTTGGTGCTTGATCTGGACCACACCTTGCTGCATGCTGTGCGTGTGGACGATGTTGTGGGCGAAATCAAGCAGACAGGTACCGGTCGATCGCTAGTCTTTTGTCCAATTATTTCAGGTAGTTGATATCAAACGGATGTGTATCGTTGTGCTAGCAGACGACATCCACTTCTTTTTCATTCCGGGACTTGCTCAGCAGCACGTGGTGAAGTTACGACCTGGTCTTACTGAGTTTTTGACGGAGTTATCAGCGTTGTATGATTTATTCATCTACACGCACGGCACGCGACTGTATGCTGAGCAGATTGTCAAGATTATTGATCCGGACGAAACGTACTTCAAGAACCGTATCGTGGCGCGGACAGACACCCCGGATATGCTTCACAAGTCGCTGAAGCTGCTTTTCCCGTCTTGTGATGACTCTATGATTCTTGTTCTGGATGATAGGATCGATGTGTGGAAGGAAAACGAAGGAAATGTCTTCCTAATCGAGCCGTATCACTATTTCAAGTGCACTTCTGAGATTAACAACGCGTCGGGCCGAGGTGTAGCTGGCATGGAGGATTCGGAGGCCGAGGCCAGTGAGGACAGACATCTTGCACAGTCAACAACAGTTCTCAAGGTATGACTTCAGTGCTGCCATGAACATCTCAGCTTGTTATGCTGGGGTTCAAAAATTACTTTAACGGGTATTTCATGTACTTTTTAGCACGTACACGAGGAATTCTATGCGGGTCATGAAACAGGAATGCGAGGCATGACCGCCGAGGAGCAGATGGCTGGCAATGGCCGCGACGTTAAAGCGATTCTGAGCGCGGTGGGTTACTAAATTTGCGTGTGTACAAAGCTGCGTGTATCTAACGATGGTGGTTTTATCTAGCAAAAACGCGCGATCTTGCAAGGCTGCAGTATTGTTTTCAGCGGAGTATTTCCAATCGTCGGTCCTCAAAGTCATGAATCCCACTACCTGTGGCGTCTTGCGGTGGATTTGGGTGCTACCCCCAGTATGACGTTAAAGGACTTTCCACTGACGCATTTAGTGATTCACCCAGAGCGATTAGGAACTCAAAAACACGTTCAGGTAAGTGACTCAGGTGTATTTATGCCCGAGCACAAGGTGGTTGGATCGTGACATTCTTGCAATGTAGGCGAAAAAGATACCTGGAGTGCACATTGTAACCCCCGATTGGATCCTGAAGTGCACTCGATCGTGGTCTCGAGTCCCTGAACATGATTTCCTTGCTGACGAGTGGAAAGCAAAACATACAAAGAAAGAACCTGAGAAGCAGGCAGACGATGCTAGTGTGTCTTCTGGAGCAGCAGCGCCGACAGACACGAGTGATGGTGCTGGTGGAAGCCAACCACCCTCACCTACTGCCCCTGCTGCTGAAGCGAAGACGGTTACTAGTATCCTAGTCAAGCGAGAAGTGGGGGATGCAAAACTTGGAAAGCAGGTCTCGTTTGCGAAAGTTATTGACGACTCTGGTAACCCTCCTAGCGAAGAGGGAACTATACGAAAGTCCAAAGTGGTGAGAAGGTCTCGAGTAATTCGAAGACCGTCTGGTGCTGGTGGAGCTATTGGTGCTGTTGCTACTGGAGTCGTGGCTACTGGAGGCACATTTGATTTCCTGTCAAAAATTAAGGCAACGAAGCGTGAACCCTCTCGTGCTAACGTCAAGTCCGTAAAGACTGAAGAGATGAAAAAAACTCCAGCTCGTCCGGCTTCTCCACCTAAGGTAGCTCAGCTTCACTTATGGTATTGTTGCTGCACTTTATGTTACTAACGAGACTTTAATTATTAGGATATCGACGATGCGTTTTTGCGCCTCATGGAGGCGGAGGAACGTGAAAACGAGGAAGAGGAAAAGCGAATACACTTGTCAACGAATATCAAGGACCAACTTTTTTCAAGACGGATGAAGGAGAGCAAACGGTCTTTGGAATCAGATCCTACAGCAGCGAAGCCGGGCGAGAAGCGAATGCGAGTGACTCCATCGGAACCGACTAATGGGGAGGCTGAAAATGAAGAAGGGGACGATGAAGAGGTGCATAGTTTTTTTACGGTGGCTTGCTGCTCGATGTATTCTAACCACCTCGTATCGTATTGATCGCAGTTGGATGACCTCGAAGCTGATATCCTGGGAGATCTATGAAGCCTGTACAGATCTGCTGCCTTCTTCAATTGCCATTAGACCGGTGCTCTACAAAGAAAAGGAAGTTACCCCGAAATACCAACCTACGTTATCCTTGCTATCACGACCCAAGCTTCCTATACGAGTATATTGTACTCCGGAAGGTGAACGCGTGCTTCCATCATAACACGCTCTCTCCACCCTCAAATGCGGGTCCAAACTAGAACGGGGAGAACTGCACCACACTGGGACTAGATTACTAAAAAAAATAAATGCTTCACCACTTCAATTGAAACACATACACGTACTTCCTTAATTGCGATGACTACTCCGGCATAAGCTCGCGAATGCGTTCCTTCAGTGTATCATAATGTGCGCTTGCCTCTGCCAGCAGCACATCCTTGCTGGCAATAATTGCACTGAGCTCGCTGATGCATTGCTGGAGAGCATCCACCTGTTTCTGTTGCTTGTCGTCTTTAGTACATTGTTCGTCGTTTTTGCTGGCTACAGCGTTGAGGTCCTTAATCTGCTGCTTGAGTGACTTGATTTGCCTGTTCTTGTCAGCGATGATCTCGTCCTTCTGAGCGACCAGCGCCTCCAGTTCACTAACGCGTTTGTGGTCTTCAATGGGCCCCGGCTCGGTAATTGTCTTCTCGACCTCATCAATCCGTCGCTTGGCTGGCTCACTTTGTACTGATTTGCTTATTTTTCCCTGCTGGCGTAGCTGACGCAGAACTGCTTTCCCCTCGCGACGCAGCGTATCATACGTGAGATTGGCAAACGTTGAGCTCTTGACCATGTTGCGCCACGGAATCTGCACCCCGTTATCTAATGCTTCG